TCTGAGTCTGCTATCAAATCCTCGGTTCACACCAGCCTTGATGCCAATTCTGTTGACATCAACAAGGCTCAATATAGGGTTCGACAGCTTCTGGACTCTCTGTCTGACTTGAATAGCACCACAGCAAATCACATCCAGCGCATTGATGAGAGTTTTCTTTGTCTCATGTTCAGGACCATCTCATTCTTTGGGCTTGCATGCTGGGCTCCTGATGTTCTCAGTCAGGATCCTAACTCTATGTATAACTTGCTCCATGAGCACATTGCTCTTGTGACCTTCGAACAGGTTGCCGCTGGCTTTGGCTATTCGCATCTTGGGATTGATCTGAGCCTAATTTGCAATTTCACTCTCATGCGAAAGCTCTATTGCAACTTTGTTTATTCTTACATGCATGGCATTGCCAAATCGGAGAGTAAGACTCCAGGGAGCGTTGTGAAATCGAAAACAATGACAAATGTTTGGAAGTGACGTAAAGAGGTATTTTTTTAATACTATCTTTATCTGCAGCTAGCTCACCACTGGGGAAGCTCTCTGCAGGATGAGTCTGTATTCTAAAGGCACAGGGATTTAATGAGCGGACTGTTGATCTTGCCAATGAGGCTGAGGCTCATTCAGACGATGAGGTTGCGGAGGGGGATTCAGGCTCTCAGCTCACCTATCACATCAACATTAAGGATGGTCGCTCAACTAAAGTGAAGTCATTCTTTCGGATGCTTGATTCTCAGCGTAGGTGCTTGGATTGATCCCAAGCAAAGCGTCGAAATTGCAGGTGAGTTTTTTAGCGCTATTCTTATTCATCTTCATTCATCTATATACCAGGGCAGAGCATACTCGTGAAGACCCTCTCACTCCTCTTGAATCAGAGCTCTTCGCCTTGCCAAAGTTTACTCCAATTGACTGGTTTGACCCAGGCTACTGGCATACCACCTTAACTGTGCATGAGCGTCTTGACTATATAGAGCATGGCGTCCACATTGGCCTTCCTCTCGCAGAGGATTGTCAGACCTGGGAGCAGTGCAGTTTATGGAAGAACCTACCAGTGGAAGAGTTTATGGAAACATATGGAAATGCAGTGCTGGCACTGTACAAGATGCCTACAGCGGAAGAGGTTGAGCAGCTTCGACAGTGGGGGGAAGAACTTGAAGAGTTGGACTTGGAGGCTCAACTTGGGGATGAGGGATCTGGGGATGAGGGATCTGGGGGTGAGTAAGGGGATTTCCAACTTGTCAGGTATTGTTCTCCACATTCACAATTCGTTTCCTTGTTACATGCCTATCCTTTTATTTATTTTTCTTTCCCTCATCATACATGTTCATTTTTCCAACACAATTCTACACATTTCCTATGCTTCTTATGTTGTCACCTCTCATCATATGCCCTCTATTCCTCTTTGTCATGCATGCCTATGTCCCTCTTTATGTACAGGTTATGAATACAACTCTATGCTTATGGATATGAGTGCTACCATCATCCTCTATTTAAAGCCCAACAAATAATTATGGTTTCTCTTGGAATGCCATATGTTCCCGATGGGCGCCAGAATGTTGTAAGATGGGTGATAAGGTGGACTGGCTGTATGATCATCAGCTGCCTAGAGGGAACTGCATCAACAATTTGGCTCATAAAACCTGGAAAATGAACAAATGGAGCCTGTGCCTCCTCTGAATTAGGCAGCTGCTGGTGTGGGCGAACAATGAAAAATGTGTGCATGGCTCCCTCAAGTGGGATGTGCCAGATTGCTTCAATAAATCCTGTATCATGCTCCTGTGTATGAGGATTGCGAAACTGGATAGCACTGTTCCCTTTGTGTGATGCTGACAGCTGAAAGTGTGATCCCCTCGGTGCACCTGGAGAGGGAGTTCAACCCTTGGAGGAAGGATAAGAGCATTGGAAGGATGGGGAAATGCATCGTAAGCTCGATATTGGTGTCCAGTAGCCTGAAGGTAGACAAGGAGAGCATCATAAGCATCCTGTGGAAGATTTGATGCCTTTTTGAAAACTGCTGCCATTTCAGCAGAGTCCAGGGGAGTGGGTGAGAAATCTGAAGTTTTGACAGCTGGTCGTAAAATATTTGCAAGGCCATTCATTCTACCATCTTGTAGTCCATCTTGCAGCAAAGCATCCGATATTGAATGTAGTGACCAGTGTATTCATCAGCACTGGCATTAGAAGTCTTGAAGGATGATAGTATGTTTGTGGCTGCAACAAGATGGTGAAAGGATTGGAGATGTTGGTGCTGAAGATTTGTCATTGTTTCAGAGTGCCAGAACTCTGGAATTATAAGCGGAAAGATACAGCTGAAGAGCATAAGGTACTCATGAGCTTTCAGCTTCCCGTGACTTGGTTCTCCAAGGTTTGTTGGAGGTTGCTGTGCCCATGTTGGGAGAGTAACATTAGAAATGCAGTTTCGAATCGCTTGAAGCTGTGCATCCATGAAGGTAAAGTGTTCTTTGGTGTCAGGAATGTAATCTGGATCTCCAGTAACTTCATCATCCTCATCCTGCATGTCAAATGCATAGGGATGTGGTTCATCTTGAGTTGGTGTTCGAGAGAGTGTTGAAGATCGGCCAGAATGCTGGGATGAGAATGAAGGGTTTTGGTGGAGTGGTGCTGCTTCTGCCTCTGCTGCCTCTCGATGTAACTCATCAAGCTCACTTGCAGACTCAGATACATCTGTTTCAGTCCACTGTTCCTCCTCGTCAATTCCCTGACCAGTATTCTGAGAACCTTCTTGTGGCCCAATGGCCCACAGAACATGGAGTTGATGTTTTAACACTCCTTCCTGCCAGTTGTGCATATACCCAAGAAGAACATGTTTAACAGGATCCCAGTAAGGCAGATGGTGAAGAGGAGTCCACCGCACCCCAGTAGATTGAGCCTGAGCTTTGCGACCAGATTTTGTTGCTGTGTTCAGCCATACTTGAGCCTGATCTCATACTTGTGCACATTGACACAAAGGCCAAGACTGAAGGTCGAGCTCTTCAATCTGGTCTGCGGTACAGAGGCAAAAAGAACAGAAAAGTGTGGCTGCATGAGCCATAAATCCTCCAGCCTTGTGACTTGCCTCTATATCAGAAATAAGGGGTGCAACTTTTATCTGAAACCAAACACCAGCAGGATGTCGAAATGTAGGAAGGCGTTGACCTGGAGGAGTGGCATATTTGAGAACAGAATCAATGAGGGGTTCAATAATGTGGGAGATGGTGATCATATCTGGTGCATTTGGTGGGGGAGTGAGGCCAACAATAAATGTGTTTTCAGGCAGATAGCGCAAGTGTGGAGGAAGATTCAGACAATAAAGAACAATGGCACCACAAGATGCATGCTTTCCTATTATAAAAATATAAAATCAATATATGTGAAATAACACTGAAATATTTCTGACATACCAGCAATCTTGTTTGTAAAAGGATTAAACCAATCAATATATATCCCAAAGACCAGATGGCGAGCAGTAGAAAAAAGGCCTGTCAAATCTCGCCAGGCAGGGCTGTCATGAACATCATGCATATCTCCACCAAGTGCAGCTGTAGAATTTCCAACATTGCCAAAAGCTTTCATCAAGTGCATCTTCGATAATCTGGCGAGACAGAAAGAAAGAAAGCCAGGAATCAAAAGACTGTGTAGTATAGAGCTGTCTGGGGACCAATTTTGGTCCTCTGGATGTATTCTGAGATTTCCAAAGATCTGTATTGCAGGCGCAAGATCTCGGAGACTCCTTCCACTGACACTTCAAAGGAATTGGGGCTGAGTAAAGAGCAAAACAAGATGGGCAACAAGCTGTCCTGATGATATCTGGTTCAGGAAAAGTTTGCCCATATGCTGAACAGAGGTCATGAGGGAGTTTGAATTCTGGTAGCTTGATATTGATGCCATATGAGCAAAGAGCTGCTTCAATGAGTTGAATCATTGTGGAGATGATAAACTGAAATGCTTGCAGGATAGTGTTTGCTGCAGATCGACTAACACCAGCCCTGAGATGAAGCCAGACCACAAGCACACAAACCATCTTGATGATCATTCCAGTAGAGATTAAAACATCAAGAATACTGTTAGCGAATAGGGGAAGATATAATTTTTTCCACACCCTTTGGGAGATCTGGTGCTTGAGGTTGTTTGAGAGCTGAACTTGAGGATGCTCGATGCTTCCGCTTTGGAGAATGCCCATCTTTATCACGCTTCTCGTGCTCCCGACGAGTTTGTGCAGAAACCGCCTTGCCTGGGTGTTCAATACCCTTGATAGTTACCTTGCACTTTCTGCAGTATGAACAGGTGCATATGACAGGGGGCATTTCAGATGGGGGAGCAATGTGAACAGCTTCGGAAGATATCTGATTGAATGTCAAGATATATTTTATGTAATCAATTATTCAAATTTAGTAATTAAAACAATCAGCCAAGACCTGTCAACCGGACAAACTGCGGAACATAGGCAGATCAACTGCCCTTAAGGCAGTTGATTTCCAACTGCCCTGGTGTTTGCCTCTGGTGTCAACGTCAATGTTCAATATCCAATATCCAATGCTCAGTGCTTGGTACGTAACACCACTTTCTTCTGGTTATGTGCTTATTATTTCATGAACACGCTTAGGTCTCGCAAGTGTGTGAGGCCAGACGCGTGCCAGTGCGTTAAAGGTGTTTTTACCAACTTTAAATACAAAAGTAATAATAAGTATTCTTCACATCAGTTTTCAACGCATGGCGGCAATCAAATTCTTTACAGCAAAGCAAAGCATTTAATTACAGCTGATTCCGAAAACCTTGTCACTACGAGATTTTTCACAACACATCTATCTAATATATAAAGAGAAGAAGGTGACAGTTATTACATAATAGATCATGTAAGCAACGGTGCTCTCTTTTACTGAGCCGCGTCAGCGGCATTTGCCAGAAACAGCAGCAAACACCACATGGTGACCACATGTATAATTTTTCCCCACCACAACACGTCGCATTGGTGTTTCTTTCCCCCATCATACCTTCTGATTTAATCCTGTGACGGTAAAATTATTTATAGTGCTGTATTAATGTTTTTCATGCTTTCTTTTAGTGTTTTTGTTGTCATATTTCGCTTTTTTGCACTATTTTGCACCCTCCATTTATCTCTACAGCTGTGTTGGGGATTCTGTCAGTGTATGTTTCGCTTTTTTGATACTTTTTAGCTTATTAGAACCCTTTTTCTCTTCTTTTCTGTTTAGCTCTATCTATCAATCCATTTTTTTTTTGACCTTTCTCTTCTGATTTGCAATTTCCAATCAGATTTTCCTTTTCTGCAGTTGGACTTTTCCCTCTGGACTTTTCTCTCTTGGAACCTTTCCTGACTTGGATTTTCCAATCAGGTTAGCCTTGGGGTGGTTGGAGATTCTGCTCTTGCTCCTGCTGTGCATTGGGTTTTGGAGAGAATGCTCCTCCTGCTCCTGCTCCTGTTGTATATAACAGTCAGCAATATAATCATCTACCAGCTGCCCTTGCCCAGCAGCTTGCTGCAATTCCACCTATTCCTCATATTGGTCAAGGTTGAGGTCATGGTCGTGGTCATCAGGCTCATCCTCATCCCAATGTAGTTCCTCCACCTATCATTCCACCAGCTCAAGATAGAGGGCAAGGTCAAGGTCGTGGTAGAGGTAGAGGTAGAGGTCGTGGTCATGGTCATGGTCATGCTCCTGCTCCTGCTCCTGCCCCTATGGTATGTTGACATAATACACTGGGGTGTTTCTCATAGATTCTGATTTTTTTTTCCCCCCAGTATCCTAATCTACCTGTAGATCTTCAAGCTGCCTATCAGGCTCTGGGTCAACATGCCCTCCCTTTTGCTCCTCCAGATCCCCCTCTGCCTCCTCCACCTGCACCTGATATCCCTTTGGCTCAGCCTGCTCCTCCAGCCCAGTCCCACTTGCACCAGCTCCCTTTCCTATGCTACCACCAGCAGCAGTTGCTGGCCTTCCTGAAGCTCAAAGACCCTTCAGTCCTGCCTGGCAAGTTCATGATTTAGGGCACATGGATGTGGTCTGCTCTGGATGTGGTGCATTTCATTGGATGGATGAGAAGCTGTCTAATTCAAGTAGCATCAACCCAAGCTTTGGCCTGTGCTGCTTTAGTGGGAAGCTGGATCTTCCAAAATTGCATGAGCCTCCACCAGAGCTTCTTCAGCTGCTCACTGGCACAAATGATATTGCAAAGAATTTTCGCAAAGACATTTGTCGCTACAATAATGCTTTGGCTATGACATCTCTGGGATGCAAAACAGATGAATCTGTCAATCAGGGTGGAGGACCCTATGTGTTCAAGATCCATGGCAAACTTACTCATAAGTCAGGATCACTGCTCCCTGCCCCCAATGGACATCCCACATATGCTCAGCTGTATATCTATGATCCTGCAGATGCTCTTAATTACTGTATGGGACACCAGGCCAACAGCACTCTTCATTGTGGTACAATGCAGCAGCTTCAGGATATGCTCTGGCATAAACATCCAGGAGTTCAATTGTATCAGCAGGCACATCAACTCACACGTAACATGGGTCCAGATGAAGAGTGTAATATTGCTCTTCGCTTTGACAAATCCTGTGATTGGCGTCGCTACAATCTTCCAACAGCTGCATCAACAGAGATTGCAGTGATTCTGCCAGGCAGTGAGGATCAACCACAGGGAGACAGAGATATCATTGTGTGAAGAAAGGATGGATCACTTATATGGATTGATCAGAGGCATCCCCTTTATGTTTCACTCCACTATGTTCTTCTTTTCCCAACAGGCCAGCTGGGCTGGCATCCATGTATTGAATACAAGGCTGGAGAGGTGGTGCCTGATGCAGGAGAGAACAATGAAGGCCAGGTTCAGCCCACAAAGAAGAGAAAGTATATCACTCAAACAGAATACTTTGCCTACCGCCTCCATCCTCGCTTTGAAGAATCACCCCATATTTTTATGGCTGGCAAGCTTTTCCAGGAGTATATTGTTGATGCATGGGCACTCTGTGAACAGGCACGTTTGCTGTACATCCAGAACCACCAAAAAGAACTACGAGCAGAGACATATCAGGGTGTGGTTGATGCTCTGGCATCAGATGCCAATGCAACAGGAAATCAAATTGGGCAGCGAACTATTCTTCCATCTTCATTTTCTGGAGGTATGCGCTATATGATTCAAAACTGCCAGGATGCCCTTGCAATCAATCGACACTTCCATGGAGCTGATCTCTTCATTACCATCACTGCAAATCCCAATTGGCCAGAGGTTACTTGAGAACTACTGCCAGGACAAAGTGCTTCTGATCGCCCTGATTTGGTTGTTCGTGTTTTCCATGCCAAAGTTGCTCAGCTGCTCAAGGATCTGAACAAGAATGGTGTTATGGGGCGCACAGTGGCCAGAGTGTGGACAATAGAGTTTCAAAAGTGTGGACTGCCTCACATGCATCTCATTGTCTTTCTGGATCCTACACACAAGCTTCGAACTCCTGATGATATTGACTCACTCATTTCTGCTGAGTTTCCAAATGAGCAGGAACAACCTGAACTATATGAATTAGTCAAAAAATTCATGGCTCACAATCCATGTGGTACCCAGAATCCTCAGTCACCTTGCATGGATGATAACAAGTGCTCCAAAAGCTTTCCAAAGCCATTCTGAGACCAGACTACTGTTAGCAATGACTCTTATGCTAACCTCCAGAGGCGAAATGATGGCAAGCAGCATATGATCAATGGGAAAGAGGTTGACAATTGCTGGGTGGTACCCCATTCTCCATGGCTCATCTGGAAGTATCACTGTCACATCAATGTTGAGTGCATCTCCTCAGTCAAAGCCATCAAGTACATCTACAAATATGTGTGCAAAGGCCATGATCACACAACTATGGAGTTTGGGACATGTCAGGATGAGGTCAAACAATATCTTGATGCTCACTATGTATCTGTCTGTGAAGCACTCTGGCGAATCTATCATTTCCGCATGCATGAGGAGCACCCAAATGTCGTTCGTCTGCAGATCCATCTTCCAAATCAGCAAATGGTTTCCTGGGATGAGCACATTGCTCCAGATCTTCAGCAGGTGGCTGTTCAGGCTGCTGAGAAAGATACTACATTGACTGCCTACTTCAAAGCCAAGAGCAATTTCCAGAGGCACACAATTATCTCTACCAGGACTTTCCCATGCACTTTGTCTGGATCAACAAAGGCAACAGAAGGTGGAAATTATGGGAGCAACAGGGTGCCATTGGTTGAATGTACTATGCTCATCCAGCCTCAGGTGAATGGTTCTATCTCCGCACTCTTCTCACAGCTATAAAGGGGGCTACATCTTATGTGGATTTGCGCACAGTAAATGATGTGACTCATGCAACTTTTCAAGAGGCATGTATTGCTCATGGTCTTCTGCAGTACTTCGTCATGCCCCACTGATTCCTGCAGGAATGGAGCCATTCCACTGGAATCCGCAGGAATGGCACAGGAATCCACAGGAATGGACAGGAATGGCACTGGAATCCACAGGAATGACACAGGAATCCACAGGAATCCACTGGAATCCACTGGAATGGACAGGAATGGCCTAAAACACATATTTTTCCAAGCTTAGCTAGATGTCACATGACTTAATCAACTCAGACCTTATGCTCATAACTTCTAAGAATTCCTTATGCTATTTAGACTTGAATAGGGAGAATCACAGTGTATTTGATAGAACTACATAAATCTATTCTACTACATTGAGTGTTAAAGGGAGGGGGGAGGGAGTGGGGGAGAGTGATGGAGGGGGGAGGGAGTGGTAGGGAGAGAGAGTGGTGGAGAAGGAAGGGGGGGGGAGCAGGAAATGGGGAGGGAGGGGGGAAGGGAAAAGGAAAGGGGGACAAGGAATAGGGGATTGATAAGGCAGGGGAGGGGACAGGGAAGGGGGAGGGAAAAGGGAGGGGGAGGGACAAAGGGGGGAGGGAAAAGGAAGGGGAAGGGAAAGTGAAGGGGGAGGGAAAGGGGAGGGGAGATGGACAAAGAAGGGGGAGAGAAAATGGAGGGGAGATGGACAAGGAAGGGGAGAGAAAAGGGAGGGGAGATGGACAAGGAAGGGGAAGAGAAAAGGGAGGGGAGATGGACAAGGAAGGGGGAGAGAAAAGAGAGGGGAGATGGACAAGGAAGGGGGAGAGAAAGGGGGGACAGGAAAGGGAGGAAAAGGGAGGGAAGGAAGGCTCGACGACGTGGGCGCGCGTTGTCGTCAACGTGTTGCGTTGTCGACGACGTGGGCGCTCGACGATGTGGGCGCGCGTCGTCGTCGTGTTGCATTGTCGTCGTGGCGTCGCGTCGCCGTTGTGTCGCGTCGTTGTCGTGTCGTCGTATGCACTCGTCGTCGTCTTCGCCAACGGGGTGGTTGCTCTACGTCGTGGGTCGTGGCCGTCGGTTGACGTGGCCATCCTCCGTTGACATGGTTGTCGTCCGTTGACGTGTAGTCGTCGCCTCGTCGTCCGTTGACGTGGTCGTCGTCCGTTGACGTGGTCGTCGTCCATTGACGTGTGGCCGTCCTCGTCGTCCGCTGACGTGTCGTCTGCTGACGTGTCGTTGTCCTCGTCATCCGTCGTCGTCCATCGTCGTCCTCAGTGGGCGGTGACGGCGACGGTTGTGGCTGGTGGTGGCCGTTGGCGAGGGTGGTGGCGTGGTGTGCCCGGATGTTGTCGACGACGATGGTGGTGGTTTGAAACAAACGTTGTGGATTGTTTGATAATGTGAAATCGAGCCTCGGCGTTTGCCGAGACTCGATTTGGGCATGGGTATATTAATGTTTATTAATATTATTGATTAGTAATGTATATTCCGGACATTGCATTCCTGTTGCATTCCTTTTTGTCCATTCCGGGGACCATTCCGGCTACTAATCAGGAATGACATCATTCCTGAGGAATATTTGTCCCCCGGAATGTCTTTTTGGCTGGTGTCTCTGCCAAATTTGATTCCTCCAGATTCCGCTGGATTCCGCAGGAATGACCGGAATCCAGCAGGAATCAGTGGGGCATGATAAAGACCTCGTCTTCTGGCTGATGACAATGAGTGGAGGATATGTCTGCAGGATGCTGGGGCTATGCAAAGTGGACATCAGTTGCGCAATTTATTGGTCACAATCCTTTGTGATTGTAGTCCCTCTGATCCTGCTGCATTATGGTTGCAGTTTCAGACACAGATCTGTGATGACCTTCATTGGGCTCTTCAACAAAAAAACATACGCCAAAATCCAACAGAAGAAGATGTCTTTGACTATGGCCTATACTGTAGCATTTCGTTCAATTCGACAGGGTCCGTGACGCGTGACAGGCCTGTCGAAATTTTGGTTTTGACAACCACACAAATTTGCTGTGACAAGCCGAAAATTTGGGCAATTTTTCGACCACTCAGCGCCGCAGGCCACGAAAATTTTTGACATTTATCACATGAGCGCCAGATGATTTCGACACCTTACAAAAATCTGTGTGACCACCGTGACATTTCAGCAATTTGAAGGGCACCGTGATGCGTGACCATCGAATTGAATGAAATGCTACAGTATATCATTGACAAAGTTCTCCACAGTTCCAGTGGCAATAAGGGTTTGGAGCACTGGCCAACAATGCCTCAGCCTCAGCAAAATTGGGATCTGGAAATTGGAAATAGTTTGATCAGGGAACAGCTGGATTATGATGCAGAAGAGCAGACCTGTCTTGCCAATGAACGAATTCTAAAGCTAAATGAAGAGCAGTGAAAGGCTTTTGATGAGATAGTTGAAGCAGTCAATACCAAGTCAGGACAGATCTTTTTTCTTCATGGTCCTGGGGGCACTGGGAAGACCTACATTTACAACACTCTCTGCTACTTTCTGTGTTGTCAGCACAAAATTATTATCTGTGTTGCATCCTCAGGGATTGCTGCTCTTCTTATCATTGGTGGCCGCACCTCTCACTCATGCTTCAAAATTCCTATCAACATTGATGAGACTTCTACATGTCAATTTAGCAAGAACTCTTTTTTGGCAGATCTCATCATCTGGGATGAGTAGTGTTTAAAGGTTCAGTCCATAGGACCACAAAAAACCGGTGGACCGAACTGAACCGGACCATGGTCCGGTCTTTTTTTCGGTTGCAGTTGCCCCAATTTGGGGTTGGTCCGGTTGCCAGTTGCCTCACTTTGAAAATATATTAAAACCATTCAAAAACCGGTTTCGATCGGTTGCAACCGGTTTACCGGTCACGTGCGTTACATACCTTTGTAACCACGTTTATTACCTTTTATTGGGTTTTTGTTTCATCAAAAACGGTTAAGAATTGAGAAAGATATAACCAAATCCATATTTTACCCAAGTCTCTGCGAGATGTAATTTGGTTTCAGTCATAGCTATGTCAAATCTTCATTAAATCTCTTCAAAATTGGTAGAATGACGGGTATTTACATGCGTTACTATTTTATATAACCCGTTTATTTTTTAGAGTAATAATAGTCGAGATACAAATGGTTTATATTGGTATAATAAATTATACGCAAAAAAACCGGTTTGGATCGGTCTGAACCGGCTCCATAGACCGCAAAAGACCGGTCCTAGGTGGTTCGGTTCGGTTCCCTCAATATCTGGGTCGGTCCTAGACCGGTTGCGGTCCACGGTTGCGCGTTTTGGGGGCAAAAAACCAGACTGAACTGAACTTGCGAACACTATTCGTGGTCGTCTTGCATCAGTTTGCAGAGCTGTTACGACTGTAGCAGGGTTGGTGACAGACTTGGAACGGTCGATTCGGTTCCAGTGGATCATCAAGCGGCTGATGACTTCTGCAGACGATTTTGCGTCATAGAGGGTCCCAACAACACTGTCCCATGATTCGGGAAGTGACGACAGCATGATCATGCATAGTGTTTGAAAGTCCGGTTCGGTCCGGTTTTTTGATGCCCAGGGGCATTAACTGTAACCGTAACCGGTCTGCCTTTTCACAAGAAGTCAAAAGACCAGACTGGACCGCAAAAAGTCTGCAGACCGCGGTTTTTTGCGGTCTATAGACCGGTTTCGGTCTGCATCGGTTTTAACCTGTTTATGACCGGTCTTTAGGCTAATATTTTAAGATTATGAATCGGTAACTTTATTAACATCTCTATTAGCTTCAAAACGAGCCCAAGAACGTCAAATTCCGTTAGGAATTGGTGCTTCTATAAAATAAGTCTGGTACATCTATTATTCCCAAAAGTAATTTACATTTTAATTCGTATCTCTCTCGTTTTTTTACCAAATCGTACGTTCTTGGGTGCGTTTTAAAGGGTATTTAAGGGGCTACAAAATGCCGGTCAAATCCGGTCAAGACCGGTTCACGTTAACCGGTTTTTTTGCGGTCTTTACATCTCAAAAATAAAAGACCGTAACCACAGGTCTGGTCCTTTGCGGTCTTGGTCCGGTCTGGTTACGGTCTTTTTCCAGTCACAAGACCGGACTTCCAAACACTAGCGAAGCCCTCGGTTCCTGCATGTGGGCCCAGGTTGCAACACGTCCTGACATCGCTTTCGCCCTCAGCATATTATCATGTTTCCAGACTAACCCCAGACCAGCCCACTAGAAGGCAATGCTCCACTTACTTGCTTACCTCAAGGGAACCCTCACTTACAAGATCACGTACCATAGGGGAGGTAGCCTTGACCCGATTGGCTTCGTCGATGCAGACTACGCTGGGGATACAGACACGCACCGATCCACTTCTGGATACCTCTTCACCGTGGCCGGCGGACCTGTATCATGGAGCTCAACGCGCCAAGCAACCATCGCCCTATCTACTACAGAAGCGGAATACATGGCTCTTACACACGCTGCACAACAAGCGCTTTGGATGTACTCATTCATGTCTGAAGTAGGCTTGAAGCGTGAATTCCCAGCTATCCTTCACGGGGACAATGCCGCTTTGATTGCCCTCACCCTTAATACAAAAGGACATGCATGCGCAAAACATATCGACATTCGGCATCATTACATTAGGGCAAGGGGTACTGAAAGTAAAAGTACATGACACAATCATATGTTCCACGTTTAAGGCCTCTCAGGTTCCCCCCTCCCCCTAGCACCTTCCAAATAAGGAAACCACATGATCATTTTAACCGCCTCACTGCAAAGTCTTAACATTCCTCACTGCAAAACCAATTCGCTGAAGGTCATTCTGGAAGCCCATGACATGTAAGATGATGCTGATAGAGAAAATCAGTGCCAGAGAGGAGGAAAGGGTGCTGAGGACCAATATGGACATTATATGCAAAAACACCATGGCTTCAAATATTTGTCAAGATAGATCAAATTAGCACTCTCCTTTGCTGCCAAAGAAAGTCACAATGTTTACAGATGCAAATGTGCTCACTGCTGGGTGAAAAAATCAAGAAAAAATGCAATAAGATGATGTGACCCAGAGTCACAAGGGGCAAACCACATTCGTCACCTGGCGAAGAGGTAATAAAAAAGAGATAAATATGTTAAATAGTCAATCTCACATTAGTGTCGAAAATGTGCAAATAAAAAAGAAAATTTATTGTTATCTCAACTTTGCAGCCACAAAAAGGTGATGATGTGTATGTCAAATATTTATTGGTAGTTTGTTGGTGCAGGAATAACTGAGAAACAAAAGAAATCTTGCCAGGAAAGGAAGATAAAGAAAGACCCTGTTTTATCTTTGCAACAATGATGAGGCAACTATTTAATGTCATTGAAAGATCTTTCTTTCCTGAGGGAACAGAAACAAAGAATTAAAATTATCTCTCAGGGTTCCTTTGTTTAAGAGGGTTAAATTTAATTTCCTTGATTGCTTTTTACAGTGCCAAGAAAGACCTTTCAATGACATTAAATGGTTGCTTCACCATTGTTGCCCAGGTAAAACAGGGTCTTTCTTTATCTTCCTTTTCTGGCAAGAATTTCTTTTGTTTCTCAGTCATTCCTGCTCTAACAAACTACCAATAAATATTTTACATACATGATATGACCTTTTTGTGGCTGCAAAGTTGAATGAACAATGAATCTTTTTTATCTGAACATTTTCGACACTAATGTGAGATTGACTATTTAACATATTTATCCCCTTTTTATTACCTCTTCGCCAGGCAATGAATGCAGTTTTCCCCTTGTGAGTGACACAGTGACACCATTATTGATATCTGAGTCAAGAGCCAATGTAAAAATTGGTCAACAATGATGCAACCCATCACAGATTGTGCTGAATCACTGGTTGGGGGCAGAAAACAATGGTTAAGTTGGCAGATACAAGTCAAAAAATGTATTATATTAGGTATTTATTTGAGATAAAGTTACGTGTTTAAGGGCCCCGCCAGACCCCCCTCCCCCCCAGGATGGTGTTTCGGAATTTCCCGGTCGGTACCCCTTGCATTAGGGAGCGCGTAGCAGAAGGGGAGATTGGGCTTGTTCAAATCCCGTCCGAAGAAAACCTCGCTGACATTTTCACCAAGCCACTCCCCCGCGTTGTACATCAAAAGCTCGTACGAGCACTCAAACTCGACACTTAGAGGTCCCTTGTCGTCTGGGGGAGTGTTGAAGAAGACTCCACGTGACCTGCTCTATTTACGCGTACGCTTTATTTATCTCCTCTCGATCTTTTTCTTTTCCCTTTTACTTTTACCTCCGTTATTTACCAGTCTTTACATCAAGCCACCCAATCGTTCTTTTTTCCTATATATACGAAAAACCTTATTTCTTCTCACCTCAGTCGTCACCACATTAGTGTCTGACTTTGGTCTGACTCTGAGTTCTTTGTACGTCAACAACCCCTCCCCGAGTCATCCTCTCGCACCCCCTTCTTCCACCTCTCCAGCACTAAACATTGCAACGTATGACTTGAGCGTTCCCGATGGAACTGAAGGCAGGTAACTCTTCAGAGACGATACTATCGTGCGGGACAGCGACTCGAGAGTATTACCCGCCTGACCTGGATGGTTAAACATCTGTTGTTTAGAGGTGGAGGGACGAACACGTGCCCACACCCTCCGACTTGAGACTGGGGTGGGCGCTATGCAATACGAAAGGAACCGCTCACGCAACGAAACAAGGGTTCAAAGTTGCGGAACACGGAAAGAAAGTAAAACGGAGGGTCACGAGTGTCATGCGCACTGATACCATTCTGCGCCCCAACGTACGTTGGGGCGAAATGGCAGCCAAGATGGATTGCGCACGTTCCAAAACCATCCTCGATCGCGTTTGCTTTGGCACCATTCAGGCCGATGGGATCACTGCGGAAAACTGCTGGAGACATGGCGGAGATAAAAGCAAGAATGTGGGTCATCGGGTGTTGACGCAGGGTTTTTTTAACAAGTTTTTAAAGGGCCAAGGGAAGAACCTACATCAAAAATCTTTTGTTAGGAACCTCCCTTTTTCCCTCTTCTACATTTTCTACAAATGTGTACATAACTACTATAGGAATGCAGGTTTTCATAGTTTCCGATATGGAGATGCTTTGACAGTCTAGCGCGGTGTAGTCTCTTTTCGAGCATGACGGGAAACCAGAGACAAACTAAAACAAGTAGCTGTGATAAACGGGTATAACAATTATAGATATGATATAAAAGCAGAGCAGATGATAACACAAGTCAGGAGATTTGAGGAGACGAAATGAAGAGACGTCAATGCCGTGGCCAGAACAGTAATAAGCGCTATCGAAAGGGTTAGAAGAAAGCTTAAATTGCGAAACCCACTAGGCGGTTGATGTCCAACAGGTTTAACAGCCTCTGGAAATGAGAAACCGAAGGCAAGCCCCCAGAAAACTCCGCTTGAATCACGGTTTCTATCCACATCGGACCGCTCCATGCCATCCACCATATTACCCAAGCGTAGGACACAAAGAACGGGATGCGACTGATCCCGAATTTTTTAGCAGCAGCAATCACCATGTCTTCGACAGTGATTACCATGGCTTGCATGATATAATATTGAATAGTCAATCGCGCAGACGTAATGCTTCTCATCGCCATCCAGTCGCCTGCTGCATGGATTATCCCTGATAATAAGAAGGCGACGTAGAGCTGTGTGTAAGATGAGAGAGCGCTTCCAGCTCGAAATTTTAGGACGTTTCGTGCGAGATATTTTCCAGCACCTGTAACAGGCTAAACAAAAAAATTCAACAGTGAGTACTTGGTGAACTGAAACTGTGTGTAGGCAACTTACGCGTCGCATCATTTGATGCCATGACTTCCTGTTCCAAATCTGTGAGTATCACAAATCAATCTAGGAGATGGCAGTGCGCACCCCCAGAATCTGCGCACAGTGGTAGTTCTCAGCCAGGGACCGAAAAAATTTGGCCAATCTCGTGGTTCCGAAAGGCCAGCCGCAACTGCAAATGCGGAAGCTACCGAATGGTTCATGTACAAAGTTGCCCATATGGAGAACCAGAACATGAAAACATTCCAAGTCTGCCAAAGGAATCCATGCGTTCCGAAGCTCTCCCTATCGATTCCATTGAGTGCGGGATTATGGTGGATGCAAAAGAATACGATGTTGCGGATAAAGTAGACAGTGAGCGCCCTGCAGAGCCTGGATTTGACGAAACCCCATCTGGGTAAGTGGGAGCGTTGAAGGTTTGGAATTGCGGTAGACCATTGAACACCCCGCCAATCACAAGCGAGTGAAGCCGCCCAGTACAGACGCTCAAAAAGAGCCATTTCGCGTACGGGCTTTCCTTGTCGCTCGCGCCTCAGGGAAATCTGAGGCTCGCTGAAGAGGATCAAGTCCGATGCATATGCAAGGAGAGTTGTTGCGTAGATACCGATCGGGAATCCTCTTTTTGTGGGAAAGACGAAAAGGCAGGCATATAGAGCGGCGAGCACAGGGAAGAAAAGTTTTCTTTTTGGTGAGGGTTTCGACGCTATTGCAATGACGGCGAGGAGGGTAAATAGCACGCAAAGAATCCCTATAGATCCCATGCTGGTGGTTGAGAGAGTAGCGTTAACGGCCCGTAGGAAATTAAATTATATGTAGACTCACAGGAGGTCTGTCGAACCAATGGAAGATGGGCCGGGGAACAAAAAAGTGATGTGTAGTTCAATATGTACTACCTGTGAAGATACTCGGGCCCCGGCTTCGTCATTTGGTGACAAGATGTTTGTCAAACAGACACATGTTTGCCAACTTGAGCAAAAGCCTTGCTATAGCCGCTGATGTTTCGGCAACAATGAGGGGGAACATCAGTAGAATCACAAAACCGCTTTCAGCCGCTTTCACCGCTTTTGAAAGCGTTGAAAGCGTGAAAGCGTTTCCGCTTTAGGAAGCCAAGTCCACTTTCTTTGAAAAGCGGTTTCCGCTTTCAAAAGTGGTCAAAGAGGTGAAAGACCCTTGGCAAAGAGTCTTCGAAAGCAGGTGAAAAGAGGTAGAAAGACAGGCAAAAAATATCTCATTTGTATAATAATACTGATTGTATCTACTGTTTCTCTACTCCCTCGAAACACGGGTGCCTCACAAGTTGCCTCCTTCCTCGCATGCCTTATACCTATGACAGACAGTTTCAGCACATTGCCTCAACTACAAAGTGGAACAACGTACTGGAAGGTTTGAGCGTAGTCCTACCGTACTGGCTGCAATGCAATCGGGCGTGTGGTTGTACTCGAGATTTGTGACCAGAAAGAGACCTGAAGACAGAGTGAGCGGTGTGACGATTCAAGACGAGGGCAATGCTTACGTGCGTAGTGGAAGAGTGATGGTTTCGAGACCAATGGCGGCATTCCCAGCGTACTGTATATTTTGATGAGGAAGGAAAAATGAATATGTGCGCGTTGTAAAGGGCGTACCAGATTGAACGTGCACAGAGGACAGTCAATGTTACTGGAGTGAAGGAACTTGAGGGCGCATTCATAAAGAAGCGGAGCGGGAGGTTCATCTTGTGACATTCAAAGCAATCGCACTGAATACCAGTATCTTGCGAGTATCAGTGACAGTCGATGGTCTATTGTGTTGTTAGTCAAAGCTGTGGAAATGCTGAGTCCACCTACCTTGAAATTGCGCTACCCATCATCACCTCCGAATACCCCCACCCCCAGCACCTCCTCAATGTCACCTTCCTTCGTCCTCCTTCGTCATCACCCAAAGGTCACATCACACTCTGCAATACTTACCGTCCACCACATACTTGGCATGCGTCGTCGGGCAGCCAGGGTCTTCTGGCTGCATTGTGTCACAGATGAGCTTTCAGGATTGACAAGTTTGTTGGGCTTCCGGTCTGCCGTAGTATGATGCCAATGTCATCATGAGTGAGTTTGTGCTGGCCAAGCACATACCCGATCATCAAGACATTGCGCATCAGAGGGGGAAAGGAGCTGGGTGGGGAGCGTGAAGTTGGATGTTGAGGGAAAAGTTCATAAGTCCAAAAATTTCCGAATTTGGACGTTCAACATGTCGCGTGATCGACGGGCACACAAGCGACAACAGCTCTTCTCCTGATTTCAGCACGGGAAGATACACCTTCAAATACTTTAATCCTCCTTGAAAAATCATCATTACATGGTAGGTTCTCGCCTGGACGTTATTCTATGAATTATTCTGTTCAACAAGTTTGAAAGAGGTGAAAGCGGGAAAGACCCAAAAGGGTGGGAAAAGGTGCCTTGAAAGTGATGTGAAAGTGATGTGAAAGTGAAAGTGCGTGAAAGTGAAAGCAAAAGAGGTTGTTATTCTACTGATGAAGTTCAACTTGAAGCTGGCTTAACGAGTCAGCATGGAACTCGTTAATAAAATGCTATCGTTTGTGTGGATATAATTGTGGACCGACCTTTGTACTTCTACATTCCTGCGAGTTCTGAAAGATCTGACTCAATACCCACACAATACCCACAACTGTCACCTCTGCCGAGTCCTGAGAATCATTGAATGTGAGAACAGGTAGGCAAGTCGGTCGAGGGTGCAAAGGGCGGATCTCCTCAGAAATAAAAGAAAGGTTAGCAAGGGTGCGAGTACAACCATTCCTAAAGGACCTACGCGGAAAGTTCTTTGATCTGGCAATCTTTCATTCAACTTCCATTGGTACTCATGTCGATATGATTGTCCAAGATAGGTCAAATTTGCCCATCTCCACTGCTCACTAGTACCAGCGCCGGGCCGCCGTATCTAGTAAACTCGCTTATGAGAAAGCAGTAACGCACAATCCAGGCAAAATCCAGGTCAAGCTAAGCACGAGGTTCGAGGTTCGAGTTGAAAGGATAAGAAAATAATAATAATAATTCTTTTTTTACCTTTCCACGTCGATATCGATCATATCTCTGCCTCTTCCTCTGATTCTCTTGATCACCTCCACATCCTTAAGTACCCTCACGCGAACAAGCCAGAGTATGATCACAATGTCTTCAACCCGCGTGTGCGGGGCTTGCGAGACCGGACGAAGCTCATGGAGGGAATCTGTTACTTTTTGGTCGGAAAGCTAGAGAGTGGGCGAGATGGTGCCAAGACTGTGAGTTTAAATGCCTTTTGAGTAGTGTGGTTTAGTTCTTGACATGCGTAGGCTACTAGACTCTACCGATGTTTGCAACCTTCGGAAACAGTAGCGTTTCGGACGTCTTTGTCAAAGTATTTCGAGACCTTAAGGCATCACTCGCGGTATCCTTCGTTGAAAACCTCTCTGGGTGCTAGCGCGGGGAAAGCAAAAGCGAAGGAATTGAGAACTGAGGCTGAAAGTTTGGCGACTGCTTGGTGGTGGAGGGACGTTGTGGTTCACAAGGCTCTGCCAGAAGACTGTTTCGGTGAAAAGTACGCGTCTTTTCTGCCAACACCCTTTGTCTAATCTCTTCTGAATAGGTTTGAACGCCTTTTGCTATCTGTTTCCACGCATGTGCTGTTGAGGGGCTCTTCAACCATACCACCCGAAAGAATGAGCGTAGGTTCGCCTCAAACACCCTTCCTGTTTAAAGCCGTCTGATGATTCCACCAAGGGTCAGCCGTCGATCTACACCGATCTCTTGGCTAAGTGCTAGTTAACTCGACATTTGTTGGTTCCGAAACGCGTCACTTCTCATGCGACGACAAGGTGATCTAAAATCATTGCGCGTGAGTTATTGTCTTGCTGTTGCCTCATCCTATTGATGGTATCTTTTGACAGCACAATCTCAATTCGCATGCTGGCCAAGGAACGTCACGATACGACTCGCCTAGTACCACGCAAAAGCTGGTCTCTTTATCGGACTCCGATTTGGCGAATTCATCCTGGAGTGGCGAAGAAGGTCTCAAAGTCCTCCATGCCCCCATTGAAATGGCCGCCCTGAAATTGATGACACCATGCAACCCAGTCATCAGATTCTATCCACATGACGAGTTTAAGCGAAAACGACAGGGTCAGTTCTAAGCTTAAACCTCTCTTCGACGCTTACAATTCATCTTAGGTGACACCCCCACCTCCACTTCCCATTGCGGCCGCTCACAACCCGTCAAATCTACGAAAACTTCGGAAGCCGATCTACAACAATGCTAAAACCAAGAATGCCGAGCGCACTACACAAGCCCAACTCATCCTCTCCGACTCTAATGCAGAGAAGAACATGTGCAGTGCACTGGCTGAGGCACTTATCAAGCCTGGCTCAACGGACGGCAGTCTTGCCATCGGTCCGGGATCAGCCGGGCCCCAAACTTGATCTGTGGACATCAACCATTGAGGCTCGGGAGAGTTTTAACTTGAACGTATGTTTCATTGCTTCAACCCATGGACTATTCTGATCACTCTACAGACCCGACGACCGGGCTACTATCCTCTTTCGGGTTGGACATATCTAGGAGGCATCGAGGACCTAATGGACGACCTGCGAGAAGGGGTGTTGTTGCCTTATCCTCCCGTTCCAGACACGACAGCACCCGAGGCTGCCGGCGACGGACTCTCAACCGAACGTGCCTTCAACGTCAGTATCAGTCCAGAGCGTGGGCCTCTTCGGCTCGCCGCCTCGGGGAGGGCTTTTCATCTACCCCACCCTCCAGCGTCAAGCCTCCGTCAGCGTATCTCCAGAGTGGCAAAAGATCGGTGCGACTCTCCCTGGCTAGGATAAGGCGGCCTACACTCTTCCAGAACGTGATGAACGATGTTGATCGGGTTAGTAGACGATTCGACAGAAGAACCAAGTAGTGAGATCCAGACGCCAAAGAGGAAGCAACCCGTTAACAGGATCTGGACGGCCGGCAGTGCCAAGCCCGATATGAAGGAGGGTACCCCTAGAGACTCATTCCCAATGGCTGCGCTCCTCATTGAGCCCGCGATGTCGTTGCCCTCGCTCCTTACCTCGTCCCTTTTGCATGGGGATGAGGATGGGGATTTAAATGTCATGACACCGACGTTCGCACGAAGGGACAGTGCGGCTTCCTGGCTTGGTGACGACGACGGTGTTGATGAGGGGGATTGAGATGACCCTCCGAGCATGACCGTCCGCGATATTCTGCTACAGCGGACACAAGTAAGTTCGATTTGTTAGGTGAGCATGACCTCTTCTGAGTGTGGTTGATATTCAATGAACTGATGGTGGTTCTTTCAGATGCAGAAGGGGACGAAGACAGTATGTTAGGAAATGACGGGTCCTTCGAGTGGAATTAATCCAGACGAATGTAATGAATGTTCTTGCTTGCTCTGTCCATGGATGTCTGAGATGCGTTCCAACTTTAGCCTGAATCATGGATGTCGGCAACCTCGAGCCGATCATAACTTGCTCCGCAGCATGAAGTTCTTTTCTTGTGTGTTCCTAGTTCCTCATCACCAGTTCGATAAACAGTACTTGAAAAATTCCGCAAAGCTCCAAAAGTCTCGACAGTTGTGGAGCACCTCGGAAATAATATTAATACAATAACACCGACTTCTAGCTTTTCCCCGACTTTTTTTCGACAAGCCTTCAATTGAATGGACGCATTCACGATGGCGCAATACAGCCACGTCGATTTTGGTGAAAGGCAGTTGTTAGGGAGCACGAAACGGCGTGAGGCAGTTCCGTTTTGTGGAGCGCTACCTTTGAACCCTCCTACGATTAGTAGTCTAGGGCGCACGGGTGGGGACGAGATCTTATCTCCTCTCCCCGAGATATTCCTAGTCTCTGAGACTAGCGATCCTGTGCGGGCGAGCCGCACACTTGATTCTGGCATTGATTGTTTTCTTAGTTTTTTCTGGGCTAAGGGGTGATAATTGGGTAGTTTAGTGAATTTGTTATTTTTTCGCCTTGATTGTGCTTTTTCTTCTCGTTATCGGATCTTTTTTTTATGAAATGAACATACTTTTGACTATAGCACATGCCCTCTGATTTCAAGTCCGGATCCAAAGAAGCAGTTTCATGGCTACAATAACAATACTAGTAATGGTCCTCGACAAAGGCCACCAACGTCAAAAATAATCTTCATCTATACAGCCATCGATCGTTTCCATTGCAACTATGCTCGGAATATCTTCGACAAATTGTCTGACAAACAGACGGGGATTTTCATGTGATTCATTTTCAAAGTTCGTGTACATTGACTTTGGTGGAAGGAGGCTTTAGCTATCTGTATAAAACCTCATCCAAGTAACCCCAGTATTTCTCAAGTTCCCGCAACGTCCTCATTGTACATACCCCAAGCAGAAACAGCCTAAGATCGTCAATTTAGGATGCACCTTCCAACTTCGAAATTCCGACTCTGGATCGTAGTCGTCATCCTCCTTTGCATCATGCCCATACAATTTGCCAAGGCCTGCAACTTCTGGACGTGTGGCGTCGTTCATTGCAATTTTTTTCATGAATGGCGTTGTCTGCCAGGTGAGTCCTATTCATCGCGATTGGGAAGTAAACATCACCTTTTCTGACGTCGACGCTCTGACTTGGATTTTCAGATGGGACATGTCAATGTAAGGGTGGCTCATAAGTCATTACGGACGGGATCGGTAGATGTCGGGTGTGGTGTTGGGCTCAAGGCGACCCTCAGGTCGTCCGTAAAATTAATTATTGTAGCGGAGACGAGAGGTGGTCGAGGACGAGTCTGTCAAGGTTGAACCTAGGCCTGCGATATGCAATGTGGAATAAATGAGTGCAGAGAACGGAAAAACGAACCGAATCTCGTCTTTAATATGCCCATGAGGTCAGCAGCGTAAGGGGACGTTTTTTTATCTCCTGGCAGCGTCAACATCCAATTTATCGAAGGCTGGGCGTCGCTTGACTAAACGAGACTCACAAAGTCAACGACTCGGACTTGGCGAAGCAGAAAAACATACCAGTTACAAAGCTTAGAACACGGTGTAGACGCCAGGCAAGTTACTCCCCAGAATCGTTCGGGTGAAGGAAGGCATGGGAGAGAAAATATCATTCGAGCCTTTGAACAAAATGCTACCATTGACCGGGTACTATTATTCCTTGAGGACTGCTCTGCGCCGCATTCCGCAGAAAGTGATTAACAGTGCGTGGGACGCTGATGATAGTGAAGAGGTGAGGACCATACTTGGATTAGAACCAGAAATGACGATCTCTGGTGCCATAGGGCAGAAGGGTGACAGTTGTTTGGAGGTCGCCAGAATTTGAAGATGCCGGTCCGGAATAATTTAAACAAATGCAAACAACGTCCTTCCCTTCAACCACCACGTCGTCTCTCATGCTTTTCAAATCAACCCAATTGCCGCCTCCACTTCTCGTTTTCAACTTGGCCGATCGACAAAGGCTAGGTGGTTGTGAGTAGAAAGGCGAAGTCAGCCTGCTATGGTGGTGTGTTAGTGAGATAATGTGTTTGTGCCTTCCTTGCTCGCTCTTTCTTTTCATCTGATACCCTTTTTCTTCGTCTGGTCAACCAAACCTTTCGTAACGCCCTCCTGCCAACCTCATCAGCTCCTTTGCCACTCTTTTTCACTATTCGTGGTAAACGACTTTTTTTTTATGCCTCCTTCCCCCGTCGCTGCACCCCTTTCCCTCCTTTGAGCCTTCATTAAACCTTGACCTTTTCTTCTCTTTAATCCTTCCCTTTTGAAGTTCAACTTCATTACGACGTTGTCGATGGGAATGCAGAAAAAAAAATGACTGACCATCTTATAGATGCAGTCGGAGGTACGATGCGGATTAATTCACTTCCCATTTCTATAGAATCCGGCTCGAGAACAGTGAGGGGTACATACGTGAAACGGGATGTTCCATGATTCTCTTCCTTACTATTCCTTCGTCCGCAATATTTTACTGCCATGAGGAAGAAATTTCGGGAATAGATTCGAGACCTTTACAATTTTCCAAGCGTCATGTATGTCTGGCAGCCAAGCGAGGGTACCAGACCCTCTTTCGCTTGGGTACTACGAGTATGTGTTCCTGCACGCAACGGCACGCGCTTATTCAGGGAGGACTCGAAAATGCATCACGGCAACGCCAAGTCGCTAGGCAATATAATTCTTTCCTTCGTTTACCAGACGCGGCAATTTCGCGATCCATACCTCTGTGCGACAGCGTGCGACGTCCTCAGCGTTATCTGATAAGATGTATGGACAGGAAAATCAAATTCTTTGAAAGTTGTTATGTTTCGATGAAGGCGAGAGAGACCAGACGTCATGCACGAAATAATCGGACGCATGTAGGGAAAACTCAATTTCATTTGTTGAAGTCATTCGGACCTATATAGAGACAATTTTCATTCACTGAAGTCATGCAAAATAATCAGAGTGTTCAAAGCTAATTCCATTTATCCAACCAAGTCATATCGCAAGGAAACAAGTACATAACTCGTCGTTATTCGGGGTGTATAATGTGTGTGTGTGAGTAGGGGGGGGAGCAAAACCAAAAACGAATTAAGCCCTTGGCAGAACCTCAACCGTATCCACAGGCGCCTTCTCGTTCAACGACGTCTCAGCCTCTTGTGACGCTTCTTTTTCCCTGCGCAAATTTTGACGGCGGATGGCGGCTGCTGATTCTTTCCCGAAGAGTTTCGTTCAGCCCTGGTGAGGTGAGAGGGTGGGGTTAATCATGTGAAGAGGGAGGGGAGGACCGAGACGAACCTCTTTGAATTTCAAGTATACCAGCGTGGCGATGACTGCCATCCAGTAAAATATGTATGCGAGGATCGTTCCCACTATGAAATTTTCTGTTAATTTCTTGCACATAAAAGTACAAAGGATGGCTTATGCGAGCCGTTATTCGACCACCCAAAGATCGGACCGAAAATGGACCATCCTTGCCTGTCCAAGTTGTTGGGGGAACAGCAATCGAGGTGCCAGACGTTGCCTTGGACTCTGTACGACCCTGGCCCGTTGCCTAACGCGTCGTCCCCTTGGGTGCCGAGGAGCCTGGCATAGGAGTTCCCTTCGAATTCAGCGACGGCTTTGGAGAAAAGGCCAGCGCCGATGAGGAGAAGGAGATTGGTCATCACGACGAGGAAGACGGTTAGTGCTGTATATAGGGTAAGCACGGAAAGACAGTAGGGCCAAGGGAAAACGGACTTGACCGAGAGGCAAATGAGTAGATTGCGAAACCGACGATGAGACCGCAGATTATTCCGACGATGGCGGCTATGGGGATGGCTGTTGCTTGTTGGCCGAGGGAGACGCCTCCTACAAAAACAACCGCTTCCATGCCTGTGCGTTAAAGTGTGAGAGGAGGCAGGGAAGAGAAAAGAGGGTGAGTGACCCTCTCGGAGAACTGTGATTAGTGGGAGGATGAAGAGGACCCATTTTCCGGCCTTAGATTCGCCGTCTACCTCTGGCGTCAGGGAATTGAATTTAGGACACAGATAATGAAGGGAAGGAGAACGTACTTTTACCGTCAAAGGCGCGCGTGAGCTTGATGCGCCATTTCGCTTTGGCTATTTCTCGGAGTTAGTACGGCAGACGTGAACGGGGAATATATTGCATACCTCGGTCCATCTTGAGCATGCTGACACCCATGACGGAAATCGTGAGAGAAGCAACGAGCTCGAAAATACCTAGGGTGATAATTTTTTAAGAAGGTGACTTACATATATGCGCGTGAACTTACCTTCCCAGCATACAGTGCTTCGGCCTTATCCCACAGGTTAGAGGCTTTGGTAAACCAAACAGCGATGAACCTGGGAAAGTTAGATTGACACTTTGACAGAAGGGTTAAAGATATACTCGGCGCCAATGGAGAGGGCTATGAGCAAACCCAGGGCTGCCCCAGCAAAAATCTAGTAAACACGCGTCTAATTAAGGGTGAAAGAAGTGTAGATAAGGGAGGACGTTACCTGTATGCGCATCTTGCGGATAAGGCAGCGGCGGTGGACGACGTCGTCGACGTTCTCGTTCTTGTCGGACTCCCTTTTGCTCTCTGCCTCACTCACGAGGGTACTTGTTTCCCTGAACTTTGAGCCATCTTCGTGTACGATTTGTTCAGCGAGACCAAGGAGGACGGAGATGATGATGGCGGCCTCGAGAGTCTCGCGGAAGACGATGAAAAAAATGGGGATGGAGAAGAGGTTCTTTGCCATGGGGAGCGAAGGGGAGGTTTCGGGGGGGAAGAGGGAGAATTTTGGGGCAGGATATAAAGCTGTCGAGACCAGCCATGGCTGTATGGATTCATGCCAGATGCATCAAAAAATCCTTATCAGATGACATTTATCCGTTAAGTTCTTCCCATCTGATAAGATTCATCACACATGGAAACCGGATCTTGCCCTTTTCGCCGCTCTCCCCATGCTGCCCACTTCACTCATCATCCTCGCTGCGTTGGCCAGCCCCGCACTCGCTGGCGTCCAGGAAATATGGTGGAACCTCACCTATGTCCAGAACGCGAACCCAGACGGCCTCTTTCCACAACGCGTCGTCAGCGTTAATGGCTCTTGGCCGTGAGCAAATTTTATTGCCCATAATATAACCTGCTGCTAACATGTGTTCAGACCACCGCCAGTCAACGTTCAAACGACTGACTCGCAGCCACTCGCTATTGGTCCATGTTACAAATTCTCTCTCGGACCCTGCCACCTTGCATCACCATGGCATGTTTTTCAAGACTACGTCCTGGATGGACGGTGCCCAAGGCATCAGCGAATGGTATTTCTTTTCACCGACCGCTCCTACTCACCTCTTGACTCCGCTTCAGTGGTATACTTACCCCCTGGTGGTACCTTTGATTACATCGTCCCCGTTAACACCTCCGGCCAATGGGGCACCTACTGGATGCACGGCCACTCATCTGTATGCAACTTCTGCTTTATTTTTCCGCCGCAATTAACGCATGCCTAAAGGGCCAATACGTCGACGGTCTGCGAGCACCTCTGGTCCTTCACCCTCCAAAAAAAGTCGCAGCATACGACGAAGAATTCACCAAGATTCTTGGGGACTGGTATCACGAAGAACATGCCGTCTTGCTGGAGGAGTTCATCAACATTGCCAATCCTGGAGGTGCCGGGCCCGTCCCTGGTACTTAAGTCTCTCTAATCCTTTGGATCGAATTTACTGAAAGAAAAAATAATAATCTCAGAATCTGGATTGATGTACTTTGCCCAAAACTCCACCTACCTCGGGCCTATTGCTGGCTCAAATCCAGCACCTGTCACAAATGCGGTCGGTTTCAACGAGAACGCCACCCTGCCTTTCCAACCAGGAAAGACATACCGCTTGCGCATCGTCAACACGGCTGCGTTCGCCATGATCTACTTCTGGATCGACGGACATGATATGCGTATCATCGAAGTCGATGGCGTATGTCTCCTTTCTTGCTTTCTGCTGCACGATCTAATGTTTGGGTATAGACGGACGTGGAAGAGTATCCGATAGACTTGATCGCCCTCACTGTTGCACAGCGGTACTCGATCCTCGTCACAGCGCGCAACGATACTTCCTCCAACTGGGCTATCCACGCCAACATGGACACAGACATGTTCGACGTTGCTCCACCGGCTTTAAATCCCAGTACGTCTTTTGCGCAGTTTCTTAGATCCTTCCTGACCTCCTTGCAGACGTCACATCCTCCATCACTTACAACGCCTCCGCGCCCTTGACCGATAACGGGTTCGTGGATGAGTACCACGACGTGAACGATACAGCCCTCGTCCCCGTCATCGTCGTGGCCCAGCCCGCCGCGACCAAGACGATCGAGCTCGAAGTCTCCTTCGACACCGTGGACGACGGCACCAACAGGGAAATGTTCAACGGAATCACGCATAACAATCCCCTCGTCCCTGCTGTCTTGTCTGACCTCACACTTGACGAGAACGCGACGGTTCCAGGGGCTTATGGACCTACGAGCTTCATCGATATCGTGATTAAGAATGGAGATGCCGGAAAACATCCTTTGTACATTCGGATGCCTAGTTTGAACCGCAAAGCAATTCCTTAAAGCCCTTTGCACGGACATAAACCCATGCTTGTTGGCCGCGCGACGGACTATACTTCCTCTGACCCTACGCTGAACCCGCCCATTATAGAAGGGCAGGCGAACCCCATCCGCAGGGACGTGGTGGGAATCCCATCCATGGGGTCAGCGACGATGCGAGTGGTGGCTGGTAACCCTGGAGTGTGGTTCTTGCATTGTAACGTCTTCCTTCGTACTACAAGGTGGACGTAAACTAACGGAATGCCAAAAGGTCACATCGAATGGCATCTCGAAGTCGGACTGTCCGTCCAGTTTGTCGAAGCGCCTCTGCAGGCTCAGCAGCATAACGGCGTCCCGCAGAAGTTGCTGGATAACTGCAAAGCTCTGAATAATATCCCCACGTCAAAAAATGCAGCCGGTATCGCCTCAGCCACTGACCTCCATGGTCTTCCTTTGGGTCCTTACCCACAAATTTTGGGGTGGCGACCGAGGGGTATTGGCGCTATGTTTAGGTACGTTTCTTTTCTTTTCTTTTTTTTTTCCCCACTTCGCGACGCGATCGCTGACGGTGGGTGTGTCTTGACAGGAGTTCAGGGCATGCTCAGCGTGGTTTGGTTTTTCCTTTGCGAGGATCTGCTCATGAACCTCTCGTTCCATCTCCTCTTCCGTGACTCGCCCGCCAAGGGAGCCCGTTTTGTTTGGTCTTATAAAACCTAAGAACAAGGAGGCTTGAGCGTTATGGAAAAGGATTGATTGTTAATTAATTAGTTACCCCCTCTATTTACGACTTTATGCGATGTGTACGATGAGAGAACACGTTTTGATGTCATACCCTAAGAAGGCGCTCTTCGTCTACGAAAGCGAACGAAAAAACAAAAATGGTTACTGTAAGATACCTAATGCGCCTACACAGGCTAAGTTTCTATTGCGAAGCAACTGGAGGAAAGAGGGAACCGTGCCGAATGCATTTGTCCCTCAAAGAGTGGTGGAAGTTCTCTAGGTGTTCAGCAGGGGGGTATCACAATCTGTCGGAGAAGATGTATCCTTTATTCTTATTTATGCGAGCAAAATCTGCGTGCACGGGCCTTGTCACGATTTCCTTGCTTTCGTGACAGGCATTGTTGGGGGATGAGCGTGATGCTATCCTCATCTTGACGCACACCCAACACCGCTCCCTCTTCTTCCAACATGACCATGACCCTGCTATTCAAGCTCATCCTGAAACACGTACCGCGCCTTTCTCAATGCTCACAAGTCCAAGTGGCCTACGTGGGCATGCTCCTGCTCGGGTATCCTGAGACTTGGTTATACGCTTCGGGCCTTAGGTCCGGACGGTCGTCAAGTTGGAGAAGGATCGTTACTGTCGCGGGAGTTGAAACGAGGAGTGGGGCTGGTGTTGGGTGATGAGGGTCTCGGGCGCTTCCCGTACGTCCCTCCAGTTTTTTCTTTCCTCGCCGTACTGACCAACGGGGCGTAGGTCATCCCCAACGACTCCCCATTGGCCCGACAAGAAGGCGCCCAACTCATCCCCCAGCGTATATACAAACCAACGTCGCTTTGACGCTCCTACATCCAAGTCACTCGAGCTACGTGGGCGGGGAGTCGCGCAGGGAGAGATACGAGCTTGGTATTAGTTCCTCTAAAGACGTCATTCTTCCCGACTGGATCCAAGCAGGCCGGGGGGGAAGTGAGAGCCCAAAATATCATATGGTTCTTGTGAGGGAGGAGTAAACGGGTGGTGGCGTGGTTCAGAACCTTCCAATGCGCGAGGATGAGATGGTTACTTATGTGAGAGGAGGATGGGTGGGTGGAGGTTGTTATGGTGTTCCGGCGAGGGGGTTGATTGGGTTTATGCGAATTTTAAAATGATGTTCGTCCGGGTGAGTCGTTTGTGCTTGCGTCTTTTGGCCGTTTGACGTTGATTTTTGGATAGGACGATTGAACATATCCTCAAAGAATACAAACCGTATAGAGGAGATATGCGGGATGCTCTCCATCCATCCTCAATCACAAGTTTTGTCTCAAAATCAAAATCTCTTCCGGGAGTCCTTGCTCATCCACCCACAAATCCAGTTTACCTAGAAGCTAATTCAAGGTCTCTACCTAAATTTCTCCATCAAGAAACAGCTTACCAACATACGAGCTGCCCAGCGGATGAGAACATCGTGCTTCGCCGAGGATTATGACGCAGGAGGATGCACTAGCGTATATGGATGGTGATGAGATTGTGGAGGTTACGCCCGGGAGTGTTACATTGAGGAAGATTGTGTTGGATCAGGCTAAGAGGGCGAGGATGAAGGGGGGGAGAAGCAGGTGGGCGGTTATGTCGTTCATTGAGTGCTTTGACTCGAATATAGCTAATAGAATACCCTACGCATCGCTTGCTCGACAACAAATCTTATATCAAAGAAATCCCCGGCTTTCATGTGAACATGCTGGCTCCTCTCCATTTCTGAGTCCGCAAGCTGCCAAAGTGATGCGAGGCTTGTCTTGTCTTTTATATGATAATTGAACGGTTTCACCTGGCTCACGCCCAGAGCGCTTGCTGTTACAAACCACAGTCCGGAAGGATGGCTCAATACCCATTTATTTCAAACCTATCGAAAACTTGTGATTGTTCTTTTCGGTTATGGCAGTCTTTGCTCTACTATTTGTGGACGCTCGCCCAGATTGTGTCAGTGGAGCGGAGGAGCTTTATATGTATTCGTGTGACAACTACTACGGAGGCCCAGCCTCTACGCTTCCTGATTTCATTTAGAGCTTATCGAGTTAGAGTAGTCATCGACCCTCCCCTGCGGCCACCAAGCGGCCACCTCAGAAGCGTCAGGCAAGAGGTGTCAGATCCACCGATCCTGGCCGTCAGATCCATTTATGACAAAGCACAAGCGGTGATATCCGAAGGACGGCATGTCAGCGGCATCTAGCATTCCCATCAAATTTAAACAACTCCGCTGCACAAGTGTTTGAGGCTGAGTGAGCGTCGATTTTGAGTCCACTAGTGTACCACAGGATATCACCTATTCATACTATGCACGAAACTACATCAAATCAGAGGTAATGTAATTTGTGCTAAATTTTAAAGAAGAAGTGAGGATAATATGGGAAGACAATTTCAAAGAAAGACATTTGAGTCGGTAGTAACACTGCGAAAAAAGATGGTGGGTAGTGAATCGACGGCGTTGGTAGTTGAATAGGTGGGATTAGAATTTAATGATAAAATGACGAAGGATTGGTATTTTTTTGCCTCGGCCTCCTAGGAGGATTACCTCGCTCGAGCTCGTTGGGGATGGACAGAAACAAGATAGAAGGTTCAAGTTACAACGGGTTTGCATGGCGCACATCGGTCACGGTGCTAGCCCTTGTCTATCATCTGGAATGCCTAGTCTTGTTCCTTCCTCTTCACTTAGAGCGATTTTTTCATAGAACTCTTGAAGTTGCGAAGAACGAGAGATGAAGGGGCTGTGTTGCCAGTAGGAGTATTTTAGTCGATTTGATTGAACGAGGGTAGTAGAGTAGAATTATACGAAGAGAGAGAATGTGGTTTCACACTACGCACAAACTTATTCGACCATTTTCCGAAGCAAGGACGCATCTGGAGATGTGGACGAAGGTGAATGCAGTACTCATGCCATTTTGATCTCACAGAATAAGCCGCCTCAAGCCGCATCGTGCGAGATTCCCTAATATGGTATGAGGGTGGTACCCTCATGCTGTGGGAACAACGGTCGGGATCGGAGGATCTGAGGCCTCTTGGCGTCAGGCCTGAGGTGAGCTCGAGAAACCCGGTAAAAGCCGGAAATCTATCTTGCCATCTTACCTCATCTTACAGATGTGGAATTTTTTTCCCTCACACAAAAAAGGATCAATCTAATCAGAAACCCCATTTCCGCCAGAAACCCAGGGGTCTCTCGTCGTCGGTTTGAAACCCCCCCTCCATCCACTACCAAATGTTGTTTGGCTATGTTTTTAGAAACCTACGTCGGAGATTGTGTGATAACTTGCCGAGCACCTGCCGTCTGCCCAGCGCTAAAGCCTTGTATCACCTCTTCCTTCGCCACCATCGTTATGTCAACATTTCCTGTGTCTGGGAACCAGGAGAAATACGCCGCCAGTGTACTATCAGGTCTCCTCAAGCCGACGAAAAGGAGCGAGAGGCAATCCATGACCCATCAACGCTCAATCTGAAGGGCAGACCAAGATCACAGAGGATGACAGGGGCGGCGGCCGCCCTCGAGGTGGAGGAGCTGTTATTCCTGTCCGAAAAACAGGCAACTTTGGGCGGAAGTGAGGTGTAAGTCGTTAGGAAGGCCACACACTCTCAGCCTGCCCACTAGTCCCTCGCTCTTAGCCTTTCAGAGTAAAGCACATACTGTAATTAGAATTGCCCCAATAACTTAGATACTGGCGAGTAACACACGCCCCCAGCTTGAGCGCCAGTCGGGTGACTATGTGCAAATCAAAGGCTACATACAAAACTACTTGCGTTCCAGCAGTGAGTGAGCCGCACGTCGGACATCAAATATCTTGATTGTTGGCTATTGACAACACAGGTTTCTGCCCAACCAATTTAGAAACCATAGAGTTTCACGTAGAAAGGAGGATTTCTGGATAGTTTAATCCCACAAAAAGGTCCCATACATAAGCTGCAGAGTAAGCTAGAGTAAGACACCCGCACAAGTTTTACCTCCGTCTTCCCAGGCTCCTAAAAGCAGCCGCTCGTTTCGCGATGCTTTCGTACTCAGGAGGAGAACTAAATATGTGATGGTTATATAATCTGATGGGGAAGACCAAATAAACAAACCTAGCTCGCGAGAGAGCTGCCGGAAAATGTACTCGGGGAGCTCCGAGATCATTGATTAACCCTAACGTTGGGTCCCAAATCTGCATCATGTGATCAAGAAACAGGCGCGTCACATTTCAGTCACTAACACATTTTGGAAAAAAATCCCCTGTATGGAAAATCTACAGCACTTTCACTTTATTTAGGTATTGTAAATTTGCCATTGGATAGTTAGGCCTCTTTATGGGTTGTACATACCAAGTACATATATAGTTTTGAACTTGACATGACATTGGACCTTGGAGACTCATAACGAGTTATTGTGGCCCATTGAATTTGCAGCACAGTTCTGCACCTTTCATCCTATGTGTTCCATAGCCTCTCCTCTGCCGCCAGACGTAGTATTTGGTTCACTGACTTTAAGAATCATTGATGCTTGAGCCGTCGAGGATCTGTCACGAAGGCCCAGAAAGGCCGTGGGTTTGTCAATGGGACCCAACATTAGGGTTAATCAATGATCTCCGAGCTCCCCGAGTACATTTTCCGGCTTTCGTTCTTAGGTTTGTTTATTTGGTCTTTCCCATCAGATTCTATAACCATCACAGATTTAGTTCTCCTCCTGAGTACGAAAGCCCTGCGAGACGAGCGGCTGCTTTTAGGAGCCTGCCGTCTTCCCCCCTCATTCCGGTTCATCTTTCAAGGAGACAGTGCTGACCCTGCACTCGAATCAAAACAAGGCTGCCGCCTCTATTCAATTGTTCCCGGATGGACGTTAGTGGTGCGGCGAGGTGAACCGGTTAGTCTCTTGTGCAGACCTTAGCATTACAAATGATAGTCGATTAGGAATGTGTGTACCCAATGTGCACCTCCATCCTCTTTGGACGTTTCAAGCTGAACGGGGAAATCGGTGATCCCCGATCAGCCAATAAGATCGTTCGCACACGAGGGGTTTTGCGCGGACGGTTTTCGCTGTCCGCTTTCTAGCCCTTGTGATTATCGCACACTTGCCCTTGAACAAAATCCTAAACTCCTCCGATTTCAGTCTTTACCGTCTGCTGCCATGTCTTGAGTGGTCCTGAATCGGCATGTATGGGCTCTCATTGCATCGGTTTTTGCCAAAGAAACAGAACAAAAGTGAGTCCAGTTCACCAGTCAAATTATTTAGAACTGACTTTTAAGGTCTAGGGGTATGTCGGGGTTGAGCCTGGGATTGGCACTGGGATTGGTATCTCGGCCCTTGATACACTCTCCCACCGTTCAAGATAGGGGACACATGTTTACATTTTTGATTCAGGTACCGGTCTCCTGACAAGTTATATCATGTCAAGGCGCTGAGGAGAGCCCATTACCTTTGCACTCCCGATTCCACATCACCTTAGACATGGCGGCGCCCGCTCAGCTCATTGATTATGTGGCTGCAGAACGGCTTACCACGGTGCGTATCTACATGTCTACAAAATCGTCCTTCCCCTCTAACGAAAAAAAAAAACACAGTTGTTCGATGGTAAGCCGCCTACGACGATTTCAAAACTCTAAAGCTGATGAGTCTTCCACGCAGTTGCGGCGGCGATGCTGTTGGTATACGACTGCTCACTGACATTGGGCATGGAGATTGAGTTTGTGTGGTCATCGCCATGGGGGTATATGACAGTGCTTTATATCGTTCAACGATATTTGCCTTTCTGTGACGCTATTTTTCTCTGTCTGCCTCGTGAGTACATAAAATCACTCTCTCTTTACAATGTTTCACCATTTTCTCTTCTAGCCCAATTGGCGATAAATATCGACCCATATGGTTGCCTTATCGTTCAAACGATACGAGGATGTATGCATTCTCTTTAAAACGTGGTCGTTTGGCTCATCGTTTCATAGGGATGATGATTTTTGGCTGGATTTTGTCCGAAGGTGTGAATTCTCTTCATTTTATTATAGCATGCCATCTGACGTCCTTAATGATGTATTGTTCCTAGCAATCTTGACCCTGCGCGTATGGGCAGTATGGAAACGAGATCGGCATATGGGTGTCTTTCTGATATTCCTAATTACGCTCGCAACCGTGGCGGAGATATATGTGACGATAATCTTCTATCGCGACCTACAATGTTTGTCCACCATCTGTTATACTGAACTACTGAACCATCATCTCACCGCAACTGACACCCCATGTTAAGTTGGTGCAAAGCCATACCCAGAATTTGTCGGTTGCTTTTTCACCAGTGCAAGTCACATCGTGTACGTGAATTGGGTTGTATTCATGATTTACGAAGCTAGTAAGCATTCACTTCTACCCTGGTGTACGGCATCCGCAACTGATTGTCTCCCAGTAATACTGGTCTTGATGATAATTCCTGGAATTGCTTCCTGTAAGACCCATACAGTGCCTAGTTTTCCGCTTGCTCATAAGCTGCCCTTTTAGATCAGCGAGGAGGGAATGTTGATCTGCATCACGTGATATATCGCGAAGGTAAGATATTGAATTTCACCGAGAGAGATGCACCTAAATCGCCTTCAAACATAGGAATAATAATGTATATCTACCTTGTTGGTAAGCGACGGTCGGCACGACACATTCATTGTGTGCTAATGCAGCAACAGCTCTTTCAATATTCAACGTTGTAGTCGTGTTTGCGCTCTCTGTAAGTCGATACAGTGTCTTTGTGTGAACCAAACTAACCACTCAACTTCTGCAGAGAGAGTATCTTGCCGTTATCTCCAAGTACGTTTATCTTCTACCTCTACGTGTAAAATGACTGATCAAGTCAAGTGTGGAACGCGTACTCCACGCACTGTTGACGAGTAGGGTCGTGCTTCATATTCGAGAATACATAAAAAGGCATCAACCATCGTATACCGATGGTCTTACAGACCTACACGTTGACCTGGATGCTAGCCAACCGAGAAGCCGATTGCAAAAACGATGGAGAGTATGATACGCCTTGACTCCGGTTTTGTTTCTGCGGCGAAGTTCATTCCAGTTGACATCGGAACGGACTGGAGGCTTAGATTTCTCCACGTGCTGGGTACCTTGCGCCTGTGAGGAGCCTGGGGGCACCGGAGTCTGTTTAACGAGCACAGATGAGCGCGAATGAAGGACCATGCTGTCGTTTATGCTGTGGTCCTCCTACAACTAGAATAATTTACACAAGTGGGAGAGGAGCAATTGGCTTTTTGCGCTGAATGTCATGCCCAATAGAGAAGGAGGGAATGAGTGGAATTGAGCTTACAACGAAGGATCAAGATGAGAGGCAGCTAAGACACCGCACAAAAGTAACAAACATCAGATTGTCACGATAAACATCAGCTTAGACCTGAAAGAGACGTTGAACTAATTGAAAAACACAGGGACGAATAGACCAGTTCCAATTATGTAAATCGGGTCTCGGCATGGTTTATAATTGGGAATAAGTTTGAAGTTCAAACCTGGGTCGTAGTTCCAACCCACGTTATTCGTGCTCTCCTCCCGTCATCCCACTCACCTTCTTGCCCCCCTTTCCTATATCCTCTTCTTCAACCATAGGAGCGCGGGTTGTGTCCGCTGGCTGTTCAAACGACAACAACGTCAAAGGCCTCGGGAGTTGCCATACAGCGGAAAGCCCTGGACCTTAGCTTCCTACCAGAAGAACTCCACGTTCAAGTGGGCAGGCGACGACGACTGACGATGCGACTACGATCCCAACGCTCCGCAGCATAAGGCCACCAGCGCGTCATCCACTCTGTGAGCAGCCAGTCGATTAGCTCATCATCAAAAATGGGTGGGAAGGCACGATTACGAAAAGTAAGCCATGACAGATCACGGAGGGAGTGGGGATGGGGTGGGTAGAGCTGACGATGGTCTAACCAACGAGGACAAAACAAACAGTCTTTCTGAAGAAAAAGAAAGATAAACTTGAGCGGGAGTGGTGGCTCAAAGAATGATTAGTGAGAGTCCGCACCTGCAAGGCATGCATGACTAGCATTTCCTTTACACCACTTCTAAGGTCTCCCCGTCGCTATTCGCCCCCAAGCAGTTGTTGAAGATGCTTGGGTGGTTGTAGAATCATTCCGAAACCGAAAAACTGTGTCCAAGAGACGCGCATCCTAAGATACTTGAGTGACTTCGGACTGACAGACGGGGCGAGGATTGTGGAATGATTCACCTTGATATGATTCTGAAATTATTCATTAGCTATGCCTCGAATTAGAGGGTTAGAAGACGTACCAGCAGCGAGAAAGTGTTGAACGGAACAGCCGTCTAGCGTTGTCGGAGACTCCGAGGTAATGATGGTCGTCGAGGACAACGTTGACGTTGATCAGAACATGTTGATCAAAGTTTGGCTTCGTCACCCTCAATAGAAAAAAAACCCCAGGTAAAAGTCCGGCAGTGGTCGCGGCACAGTCAGTTCTACGGTTACATGAAGTATGTCGGAAATTTCCCTGGCGCCTAATAAGGGTTATTAGGCACCCAAGGCACCTGACGTCTAATAATGGCTTACAATTTTGCAGTTAATTTATTAAGTTTGAGGTCAACCTGATTAGATCAGATTATCAGGCCTGATAAGGCTGAGGTGCCTTCACAAGTCGGTCCTGACTTTCTAATAGGAATGGAAAATTATATTAGTCGAAGTACCTACTTACTTCGACCACATTATGCTAGTAGGTTGTATATCATATTACTAGTAGTTACTTGTATGTTTAACTGGTGCTGCACTCGGGATTCGAACTCTGGACCTTACCATTATTTGTTATATTTGTACCTGTTACTGGACTTCTTCATAGTTACCACTAAGCCATTCGACCGTTAAATAGCAAGCAATGTCGGTCTACTATAAGCCATTAGGACACACTAGCTGCAAGTAGTAGGAACAAATGTCGCCGCTCGTGTTAAAACGAAAAAACAACACATTTAATTGATAATCGGAGTATTCTACAACGGAAGATATACTCCTAAGTAACGACCACAGCTAACTAACTCGCAAACTGCATCCGACGAGGGAAATCAACGGCGCTTCGTCGTTCCTTTCTTTCCACGGGTGGTGCACTTCTGAGGCTGTTCAGCAGCGATCGGAATGACAGGTTCGGTGGAATTGATGGAGCTAGGTGCAGCTGCAGCAACCTGTCGCCTGTTGGCGGCGCGGCGTGGCAGCGGTTTGACGGGCTCTGTCAAATTATCCCCTGGACCTTGCACAGCTTCGAGATTTTCCGAGTCCGTCCCTTGGGAATCAAACGCTGTCGCCCCAGTGTTTAAAATGGACGTGATGGAGGGACTGGAAACGGGGGGTGGAGCCACAGGAGCGGGATGAATCCGATTCCCCGATGGTTGCGACGCAATTGTGTTCGGCGCGCTGGAGGCTGAATGCTGGTGGGTATGGCGGTTGTTCTGCACATTTAATCCCCGCACGCAACTTTCCGAGCGCGCACGCAACTTTCGACCAGCGCGCAACTTTTGGATGCTAAATTTGACCGCACGGCGCAACTTCCGACTATGTAAAGGCATCAACTCTTCCATGTAATTCCTTTTGAACCACCCTCTAGCTACCCCAGCCCTACCTTCTACCACTTCATATAATTTTTATCTAAAATGACCAGGTCACAATTTCGCACTTTTCACTGATTTCTATTCATCTCCTTCATATTAATTCTTATAGTCATCCCCAGGCCATCTGCTTGCTTCAAATTGACCAAAGGGTATCCTGTAGCATGTGAATCAGTTGTTATACGTAGTAATGAAGGTTACTGGCAAGACTGGTGATGTAACTGATGAGTAGTATGCTCCTCCACCCCTCTCCATGCACCATCTCCCATGTAAAGTGCCCCTATATTCTCATTGCTATACTATTATACTACCTTTCTATCAAATAACATACATGACACACTAAATTACAGCATAAATAACAAAATGCTTGAGAGTAACAGTGGCTCGGGGGATATGGTGAGAACCAGTACCGGATTTGGTAGTTGGCAATGATCAAGCCGATAATTCCGATCCTGATGATGGAATTTACCTTAGAAGGATATTGAGACTCCGCCTGATCGCTTCTCATGTTGCAACGTCAACCTTCTACACTGTCACACGTTGACGGACATATGCCGCTCGCTGTCAAGCACAATGAGCTCGTACCTTAGTTTCAATGCAAAGTATTTGATACAATAGATTCTGCAATGATACTCTACGTACTATTTTAAAATTGAAACAGAGAAAAGAAGATTTAGGCAATAAATAGATGTACATTATGTGAGCTTGCCGTGTTCAACGACGATGAGAGACTTCGGGACGATGTTGAGGATTGCTTGGGTGACGTTGCATGAGAAATGCTAGACCAAACAACCGAATTTAGCATCCAAAAGTTGCGCGCTGGTCGAAAGTTGCGTGCGCGCTCGGAAAGTTGCGTGCGGGGATTAAATGTGCAGAACAACCGCCATAGGTGGGAGGGAGATTCTTGGACATGAAGTTGACGAAGAAATTGTGAAATCTCCTCGTCGTCGTTTCCGTTTCCGTTCGTGTCGTCTTCAAATTCCTCCCCAGACTCCGAAGCTGGATGCACGTTGGGGAAAAGTCTTGCATCCCAAATCCTGTAAAGTTGAATGATTGCTGACGAAGATTCCCGTGAAAGTGTCAAGATCTTTTTGTATGCGTCAAAGTCGGCAAAATAACCGATCCCAGTCACATTGCCAACCCCCGCTCCTGTGAGTTCAGTATCCGTTGACATAATGAAGCGAGCCTGTGAACGAAATATCAATAAAAAAGTGATAGGTGTTTGAAAACGAAATCATACCAGGGTTGCGACACAACAAATTAGGCCAGCTGTAGTTCCAGACTCTGAACGAGAAGCGTAAGGGCTGTTTGACCGCAGGATCGGCAGTGCATCACCAAATATCGCACTCGGCCTGTAGATAATTAAAAGCGCCACCTGACCATAAAGATAGTAAATCAGAATTTGATGAAAGTAATATGAGAAAATATACCTTGAGCAAGTATTCACTGCGGAAGAGGAGTGTTGTATCCGAAGCGTCTGAGTTTTCGAAGAAAAAAGGTGGCAAGCGTGGGTAACGTGTGCTCACTGTCTTGCCGCTCGCATTGTACCCAAGCAAGGTATTGATGGTCGAGTTGGTTGAGCGATTGAATTTACGCAAGAAAATGTCAGGAGTAAGGCCGAAAATTGTGGCAGCATTTTTGCGCAGGCGATCGATGATGCTTGAACGGCTAGAAGACAATTCTTTCATGAACTGTACGATGTTCAGCCCATCCCAAAGATTTGAAAGGAATTAAATACGAACCTTTGTCGCAAAGTCGCTGTGACTTTGCATATAATCATGTAGGCGCTCGGGAACGCAATCATACAGTTCCATGGTCGCACCAAGCTTCAGGTTATCGTCACTTGAAAATCTTTCAGCGCTATTTGATTCAAATGATGGTTTTGGATTGCGGAAATCGTCGGCGCGGACCCAGGGTTGATGGAAAAGCATGTATATCTGGGCGAGCTTGGCAATCTCTTGATCCGCACTCAACAACTCTTCCGATGCTCCTACCTTTTGGCCGCCTTTCTTCACTTTGGCAGTGGCTAGCTCCAGCTTGAGCTCAGAGATAATGCGCTGTGCATCATTGATTTCTCTGTGCGCATCTCGAAGAGCCTGTCATTATAATTGAAGTTTAAATAAAATGTGCATTGATAAGCAAGTAGCACGTACCTCTTTCAATTCATCCGTAGTCATGCTGTCATACATCAACGCAGTACAGTCACACTGAAGTCGTGATGTGGTAGCGGTGCCAGAAGAGATGGAGCTTGTTGCAATTGAAAAAGACATGTGTTCGAGTGTGTAATGGGAGCGGATGACCAGCAAAAAAAAGTCTGGAGGACCATCGCATTTTATTTAGAAGTTCGGCAGTCTTTGCACAGCCCACTGGGTAACAAATGAAAAGAACGAGCTTGATCGGCCTGTTGCTCTCTGACTACAGGTGAAATTTGACGTAAATAATGGTTAACACAATGTGTTTTTAATCACCGTGCTACACGACTGCTCAGATTTGTGCAAGCCTTACCACAATTGCTATATTTACATATTCCGCAACAGACTCAAATGAAAATGATGGATGGTGTGGAATTGCAGATTGGTTCACTCACGGCACTTCTTCTTTTCATTCATTTTTCGCTTCTTTTTACATTTTACAAACTCTTCTTACTTCTATTCCAGTCTCTGTTCATTTTTCTAGGTTATGAAGAACATTCAGAAGTGTCTTTGTGAATGCACATTGAATGCGCATCAAATGCGCGATCGAGCAACTTTGTGCATTCCGGCAACTTACTGTAGACAACTTGATGGATGACATCATCATCGGCAACTCATTCAATTGGTTTTAGGAACCGCTTGAGTTTTTGTTTTTGTACACTCAGACTTTCATTTCATTCTTTTTGCTTGTAAGTTCTGTCATGTATAAAAGGTGCTCCCCCATGGAGTACTTCTTGAGTCTTTCCCCTTCACTTGTCATATTTCCACCACCTGTCTCATGGTCATCAAGCAATGTCCTTGAAAATGCTACATCTTTTTATGTAAACCCATTCTCTGATAGATTTCCATACTCACATATCTCTTAGATAGCCTTTTAGAGCAATCATACCAATTCAGACAATTCAAACAATGTTTTCAATGATGATCTTGATGATCAAGATCCAACAAAACCATGGCTTGCTGAGTTCCACAAGTAGTATCTGTTTTGTTACAGTTATTAGAAGATATTCCTGTTATTATTTCACAATGAAATTGTGATATATAGGAAGCCTTTCTTCATACCTACATATTCAAATTGTTTTCAGAGCAATGGACTATTAGTGTGGTGGTCATTTGCATAGTTCCTCAATGTCTCATCATCCAATGTTCCCACGACTTCAAACAGAAATTAAGCTCTTGCACTTGCTCTTATCCTTCCAAAAAATGTGTGAAGCACTTCTAAAAGGCATAAGACTGCCATACAAATTATAAACCAGAGGATTGTAGGAGAAACTTCAGATGAGTGAGATGCATTCTGTTAATGTCCCATCATCCCATGTTCCCACAACTCTAAACAGAAATCAAGCTCTTGCACTCATTCTTATCCTTCCAAAAATTGTGTGAAGCACTTCTGAAAGGCATAAGGCTGCCATACAAATCATAAACAAGAGTATTGTCATCCCACTATCACTATCCTTAATAAAGATGCACAAATACTACCACCCTCTTTTGATAGTTCTTTCCTTGTCTTTGTTTCACCCTCCCTCATCCATAATTGAACATGTAACTTGTTCTGCTACTCTAGAATTCTGCTCTGTGTATGAGTGGCAAAGTCTTCAGCCGCAACCACAGATCAAAATCAACAACATCAACAACAAGGTACTCATCACCATACTCTGCACCATAATCCTTTGAAATAAGAGCCCTGCGAACAATTGATTCCACAGAGATAAAGCAGCTTGAAAGCCTTGGACGCGACCGAAGTCTTGTAAAGCATAGTTCCCAATCACGTCCACGATTGGTTAGAGAGGGTGGAAGATCAAGGGGAAGAATGAGAGCCAAAAAGTACTTGGTTGACTTGACTTCACAACTGAAAATACACAATAGCTGAGCAAAGATGAATTTCTTGCTGTCAATTTTGACAACAACATAGTCATAGCGCTCTTTGTTGTGGAATTTTGGATTCACTCTGAGCAAATCTGTTGTCAGAGACCAATCAACTGTTGACTCATAGTTGACCTGAAGATATTGGTATGGGAAGATCTGAAAAATTGAGTGAATCTGTGTGGTTGAGTGTAAACAAAACTTACATTTTCATCTTCATGAAGTTGTATTTGATGCCCAAAGTATTTTGAGAAGAATTTGGATAGCTTCTTTCGAAAATCTTGAAATGCAAAATCTTGAGCCCCTCGCTGCTCCATGTCTTTGAGTGTAATCTTGGAAGTTGGAGAGCCAAGAGAGACATGTTTGCTGCCAATTATATCCTTCTCAACCACCTCCTCATTGGAGTCTTGTGCCTCATCAAGAGTCTCCAGTTTCGTGCGTATGATTGTTGCAACCAGATGGGATTGATTGACTTCAAGAATCTCAAAGGTAATATTTTAAATTGCTGGAAACAATATTCTGAACATGATGATCATACCTGTGATTCAACATTCTTAAAATTGGTGTGAAACTTGTAGGCTGATTTCAATGAACCATGTGACTTTTCACTTGGCTTCGTATTGTAGTTTCGAGTAGCACCCTTGTTCTGGATGTCATCAAAAACATGCTGATGGCTGTGAGCTTTGGGAAAATTCCATGATTTTTCGGTATTCATGGGTATATATTCCTGATGTATTGATAGGGAGGTGGTGATATGCTCTAAATATTTGCACTCACATGTAGTAATTTTCAAAGACAAGTAGCTCAGCCCGACCAGCCGCAATAGTTGATTCAGTATGTGTCGTTAAAGAAACATACATGTCCAGCTCCAGATAACTTCGAATAAGCTTGAGAAGATGGAAGCCTTGTTTTGTTACATCTTTGGACAGAATGTTATGGGCTGCAAATACTATAATCTGATGGAGCATCATTATCAGTGTCATTAAAGAATGTAGTTGAGTGACCTTGGATATATCCTCATATTTTGAGCCATCTGCAAACTCTGTCTTCATCACAGCACTAAAATGGTTGAGGCCACTCCAAGGGGGCATTTCATCAAATCTATGTTTGATGGTACCAGGTCAAATCAGATTGAATAGCAGGATTTAGGAACATACTGCATATCAAGCAACTTAGCAGATGCTTTACCAAGCTCATTGATGATCATTTTGAATTCAGATAACAAATGGTCTGAGAAAAGACCACCATGGTATGCATGAAGGCGATCAAATGAAAGTGCTTTGTGTATATCTGAACCATGGCACATCCAGAAGACATTCTAAAACATAGAACAAAATTTATATATGAGTCAACTGATGAATCTGGCCTGACACACCTCAGCATCACGCAAACCATGACTTTTGAGAAGTTCCTCCTTGGGGCCAGATGCCAGCTTCTGTGCAGTGAGATAGATTTCTTGCATATTTTTCATAGTCCGCTCAGGAAATATTGTTGACAAATTGGTCTGCTGATCAGCAGGAACAAGACAGATTGGACATGGAAAGTTGCCTCCTGCCCCACGAATTAAGGAAATCATACACCTTAGAGATATATTAGCAAATAGGTAATGAGATTGCTTTAAAGAAACATACTGCTCTTCATAATCAGCAGATGCAATCAAAATAAACCAGAATATATGCCGTGCAATGCTATCAGCACAATTGGTAAATGTGTAACCTGTTTTGAGGTACTTTCGAATAGAATCCAGAATGTGGAAGAATGCCTTATGCCAGACAACTCTCTTGAAATTGACATATCCTTTTTTTCCTGTTTCTCCAGCATCTTCATCCACCTGTATTCATGAATAGTCAGCATCTGATCTGCACGACTTTAGAAATATGGCCTTACCACTGGAAGTAATCCAAGCACTCTCCCACCTGCAATGCCTGTTCCATTTCTGATCCTGACATTGAAGTTGGCAGGGCGACCAATTACTGGGTAGCCTTTGACAGAGCCAAATGATGAAAGGCGTGTCTTATCTGCATAAATGACCATGCAGAAAGGCAATGCACCTTGTGGAAGGGATGACTAAAAAAATACATAGTCACTGTCAAAGTTGACTTCCACACACACAAGATTGTACCTGAATTTGCCACCAGGTATCAGCAGTCCATGGTTCATCAATAAATCGTTCAAATTTTGAACCATTAAACTTGTAGTGACGTTCAGCATGCCAATGAAATTGGGAAATGAGACCTGGGTCTTCAAGAAGTTCACGAGTCCAGTCAAACAATGAGTAAGTCCAAACATCATGTGGAACCTCTTTCTCTTTATAAGGGACAGGGACAGTGATTTTTGAGAACTGAAAATATTCAGATTATGTGCATCAAGTGAAGGAATTGCTTACACCAGATGTGCGTGCCATACGAGCATTTTCCCATACACATTCCAAGTCAGTGCTGTTTTCCAATGTAAATTCAGATGGCCTTTGAATGCATTGGTGTATGAGTGAGAGCAGCTGGTTGGTTTGAGATTTATTCATATGGGTATTCAGAATCAATTCTGCAATCTCGAAATCAAGGCGTGATCGAAATGGTCTCCACGGTTCTGGATCAACTGGCATATTAGCTGTGCCTTCAGAAGATGTGGTACAATCCTCAAAGTGATAGACATGAGTAGGTTTCCCACTCTGTGGATGGTATTCAACCTTGATATCATCAAGGATGGGGTCAATTGTAACAGGATTGGTGGTTGGTGACATGTTATCATCAAGATCTGCAAAATAGAGATTTTAGAAATGGGTTCAAGACAGCATGTGAGCTTACTAGGGATATCACTGTCAACAATTGGGCCATCTTGTTGCTCCAGTAAGGCTTGTGTATGCAGGTTAACTTTGAACTGTTGTTCTTTTTTTTTGTAATTACTCACGAAGTTGTGCAGAATTTCGACTGCTCGAAGCATTGCTAGCAGATTTTTGTAATCCTGGGGTGAATGAAGCTATTTGACAAACAAGTAAACTGAATGCCCAAAAGGAGCACTGTTTCTCCTACACAATAAGCCTTCACGGCGGACACGATCTTCAAATGCCTTCTCTGATGCATCAGTCTCTCGAGGTTTGGATTTACATGACCGTTCGTGACTTGCGATGCCCCTCGAAGCGAAATTGTTGCCACAGTACTGACAAGAAACTTTTCCAGCATCCATTCTGGTACTTCCTTTGCCTTTGGGAGCCATAATCTGCAAGCTGTCGAAGGGAAAGCAAACGTTTGCATTCCTCACTCGCGATCTTATCAGTCGTGATAACCCTGGACCCCGTTCTAAAATAGGGCCAAACCTTATCATGCTTGGCGCAACATCGTGAGAGGAAAATGCCCTCTGATCAGGCCTGATGATACCGGTAATCTACATTATAAGGCCGGTGCCTTTTTTTTTTTTTTTTTTTTTTAAGGTCAAATTTATAGTCTATCGGGGCGAGGCCCCATGTCAGACTTTACAACTAAGTAGACTACCTATAGGCCCCTAGTGCCTTGATTCCTGACCCCCTAGGACCACCTCTTGCACTGGAGAGGGCACGCCCATGGCGATCATTCCCCCTCCCAGCCCGGCACGAAAACGCCGTTTAGAGGTGCGTCCTGTTTGGCGGGCGGGGTAGTCTCGTTATCTGCTTAACTATGCAGTCCGGCCATTTGGTGTTTCGTCTTCTAAGTACCCGATCGCAAAGCGACAGGCACGGCCGGTGCCTTATCAGGCAGCTGGGAAATTTCCGACATACGCTTTTCCAACTTTTACCTGACTAAAAATCAGTAACAACGTTTCCCGTGAGCCGCCGTCAGTCAATTCTTGTTATCCTGATTAAATTTTACCCCAGAGCTCACAATAATTAACAGACTTTGAAGACAAGATACCATCCCACAGTATTGCGAAAAAGAAATCATAATACGGCTTCCCGGAGGATTAAGTAGGCCCCAAAGACGGACCTCGACTCAACGTCGAGGTGAGCTTTCGGATTTGACATGGCTTTCCCCGTCCTTTTGTGTTTTACTAGCTACTTCGCTGCTTGGGGCTTCCTCGAATATGGATGACAGAGGCGCCGTAGTACTTTGCTGAGCAAAATTAAGGCTGAACGTTTGACTTGGTTCAACTAGCCGATGCCGAGCACGTCTCCGGCTATTCAGAACGCTAAGGAGCACGTTGGAATACCTGTTCGAGTCAGCATCTCTTAAAAGACATTCACAGCTCAGGGACAACTTACAAGCCCCCCAAAATGTACATTCTGGAAGATTAGACATCAGTAGCGTTCAAACTAAGTTTATCGCTCGACTTACATGCCAACTCGGTTGAGCGAATTTGTCGGAGATCTTGAATATAAAATTAGTTGAACAAGAGTCGTGATCAGGGTGACGGCGGCGGTCTCCAAAGTTACAATAATGAGACGATCGATAATACGCTTCGTTGACTTGAATGAGGATTCTAATTTTGCCTGTACGAGCTAGAGAAAAAGAAAAGATTGGAATTAGTTTAAATTACACCAAGGAGAACGGGAGTACCAGAAATGTCATAGTTGCAACGATGACGGAATCACAGATCAAGGTCCCCCATAACCAAAGCTTTTGAGGGAAAGGTTGAGCATCTCGGAGATATAGCAAAAGAGAACGTACCTCAGCTGAAAGGTCTAAAGTATGCTGTCGGCTGGATAAGCTTTCAGATTGAGCGCACTATTATCAAATCTATGAAAATTTTGCCGTGAAGTTATGAACCACGTACAGCTACTCCACGGGCAAACGCAGCCGCTAATTGCATCAACGCCACCTAGAAAAAGTTCAATGCATGTAAAACAACCCAAGGAAGGCCGTCAACCAAACAGATTATGCTTGAAATAATTTGATAAATTTTGAACTCCCTTTTCAGGGTCCGTATTCGCCTATAAGGATGTTGGAGGTCATGCGTGAAAACGAGGTTTTATGAGGACCCACCAGGCAAAAAAAATCTGAACAACGCAGGATTCTATCAATGGCGAAGTCAGTACGTTGAAGGATCGGTTGAGTGGAAGACTCGCCTATCCCAGTGAGTGGTACGGTAAAGACGGGAAACACGGAAGGGCCAGTGAAAATTGTTGGGTTTCCCCATGCAACTATTAAGCTTTGCCAAGCACCCGCAGTCACAGCCATCGACCGCACCTGATCAACGGCGAGGCATACCCAAACTAATATTTGGTACATGAAGGCGGGACAAGGAAAATCGCGATGATGCGCACCCGCTACTTTGATGAATTTCAAGTCCCCATTCAAATGATCGGTGCAGAAGAAATCGTCTGAAAATCCGCAAGAGATGAGGATATATTGGTGTTAAGAAATAGAGTGAAGTAAACGCACAGCATTGCACCAATAATGACCCCGACAAAAACCAAGTGATGATAGTACCGATAAGCTGGACGCAACTGTAAGCTTCTGCGTTAGAAATTTTAATTCCCAATGACGAACGAGAGGTGCGGTACTAGAGTGTTCGACATAAACGCATGCGTACGATTCCATCATGATCACTTACTTAGATATGGCTATCCCAGTATACGTCGCGGGGGCGGCCATCCTTCTGGTGCGGGCGCTGGTCTTTAGACAGCGGAAAGTGGGGAGGCAGGATCTTATGTTGGTGGACGGAAATATGAGCGATTTAGACTTCAGGGCCGATACAACTGTGCCTTATATCGTGAGAAGTCATGAAGTCAACCCAATCAGCTTCGCGAATTTCATCATCCACAATCGGCTTTTTCCGAACAACGACCTCGACCAGTCGAAGAACCGAGTAAACTACTAAGCAGAGTAATACAATATGCAGGGAACAGCGGGCTTGTATTTGGGGGCCAAAAACTTTGCACAGGTGCACCATTCAGTTCACATGTTTCGTGAAGAAAAGTTGAAAAAGAGCGACGCGTACGAGTGTGTCACGTATGGGGCTATGGAGTAACCCATTGAAGCCACGACGATCGCAAAACATCCAACAATCCCGATGATGAAAGCGATGGATGCCATGACTGTCCAAATACTAACGGCGACAGCGGCGAATAGAGAATCGAACCATGACAGTTGAACGGATCAGCGTTGTGCCGGTTGCGCAACTGTTCTGAAAGTCGTCGACTGTCACTGACTGTGACATTTCGCAACCAAACACGACCGCGACTTTGCGGGGTGCCAGGGGTGTCCTCATATATTATGTAATGTAATTTTAGGTGTAGACACTTCTGAGATTTTGAGGTGGATTTGACTTTCTCACGATCTACAGTTGACTGTGAGTCTGTGACCTAAGGTCGGTGACGCAGAACAACTGTCACAGGTAGCACGCAAAATGGATTGTGGTAGATACGGAACATGATATAGAGGAATCTAGAACAGTGGTAGATACAGAATATGATGTAGGAATAACTGTGCAGCGTTAGAAGACCGCGCAGTGCGATATAGCACACGCCCAGAGGTAGGACCCCATGGCACCGCGCAAAGTTGCGAACGTTTGACCGTTGACGACCTTTGGTGACTCTCTCACGATTTACGGTCGGTGACTGTGACCTCAGGTCGCCGACCCGCACAACGCTGGAACGGATGACTTCTCAAGAGGGCGTATCACTTTTGTCGAAGCCCAAGATGCCTCGGATCCCGACAAACCATAAGGAAGCCCATCCTCCTGCCAGGACGAGAGCTACGAGGTGGCTAGCGACGATGGGGACGACCTTCAGAGGGGTAACGACTTGGTATCTAAAATTAGGTTGAGGCGATTAGAATGAAAGGCGAGTGATGGCGAAATGGAACAATCCCTTTCAAAATCTCTGATAGCTTGTCACTGAATGCTTTTGAACTCCATGAAGCAGTCGAGCAGCTTGGTTTGACGTTAGCGAGGCAACTTGCGTCCGAGTCATCTGATTCGAGTTTCATTGGCGAACCTGCGAGTTCTAAGTCGTTAAAGGTTGGTTAAAGGGCTGGGTAGGAACGACCATTGAGCTTTGAGTCGGAATTACGAGCACTCAGAATGACAGGAGGAGCCTCAGAGCCAGTAAGGAAAGTTGTGGTTGTGCCAGTGAGAGACAATCTTGATGGCGTGTGTGCGTGGCGAAAAGTTTGTAGATAAGATAAGAAAAAGGTGAGCTTGTTTGTCGTCGACAACAACCCATAACAGACATTTTGTAAATGCCGCGTTTCCAACTTAAGCTTTTCCCAGCAATCGGCGCTCACCTGCAATCCATGCAAGTCAGCCTTCTCTCCCCATACGAGTCATTTACGTCCTTTGTCTGTAAAATTTAGGTCTTTGACGACCTGATGTGATATTGAGCGTGACGAACTTCGGGCATAGCCCAGAAGGTCAGGAGAGAGTGGTGACTTAGACGACTGCAGAATGGCAACGAAGTTGCAACGTTGAGACTTCATGACAGATACGCGTAACCCGTGGCAAGTGAAGTGATTGGATTACGACGTTAGGTGGGATGTGATGAGCTAGAAGTCTAGTAGGAATGGTCAGTCGATTCGAGTCCTGACTTCCAAAAACAACTGGACTCGTTCCTTTCTAATACTTGTCCTCGAAGTCAGATGGATGAACAGGTAAACCAGAGGTTTAACAAGCATCAAATGCGCCATTCCCGTGCCCACTCGTGCTGTAGATTGATTTTGAAGTGCATGAGCAGAAAGATGAACATTTTACATTCGACCTTTGCATGTGAGCTCCTGCACCATTCCCCTTCATCTAGTTTTTATCTGACTGAAGCCAAACAGGAAGACCACCACACCCAAAAGTACATAACCCTGTTCGTGCGACGCACAAAAAGGTACCTGCACACATCGCGGCCAGGAAACTCCGACTCCTGCCATTTACCCGGCGCACATGCATCAAGTACAAGCCACCAACTGTCTCAGGAGGGGTTGAAGCACAAGGCGTGGAAATTGCCCAGCGTGTCATCTCAATGTCATCTACATACGTACAACGGCAGAATTACCGAGACTGCGACACCCGCAATTGAGGTTCTACCTCCGTCTTCCCTTGTAATTTGTAGAGGAACTCTTTCTTGCCGGTTGTTTCCCAAGGGGACAGTGCTGACCCTGTATTCGAATCAAACAAAACAAGGGCGATGTACGCAGGCGCTCCGTGACATTCGTATTTTTACATAATTATTCCCGGATAGACACTTGGTGCGATATCAATGTATGGAATGGGCTAGAGCAAGGCTAGAGTCACGGTCTCGTCAGGACCCTGGAAAGTACCCTCAGATGCCGTATCCCAAAATGCCCAAAACTGAGCGATTTTTATCCGGTCGGTTTTACCAAATTTCTATCCGGATATTGGATTCGGCCTTCAAAAAGGCCAATTTCTATCCGGTTCCGGCTCGGGCCTATAAAAATTGGTAATTAAATAACATTTAAATAAAAAAAGAAATTGGCATGAAAGGAGTGAATTTTGGCTTGGTGCGGACTCTAAGCGGACTCCTAGGTATTCTCTGGAGGTCTGCACATCAGGAAAAAGTCGAATATACATGAGTGATGTAGTATATGAGGGAAAAAATATATAGATCAAGGAAAGATTGTTCACTCTACTCAGAAAGAATGAAGAATAGGGCGAAAGAAAGATATTTTATGCACATAAGTTGGCGGCAGCGCTGTGGCCATCCCAATTTTCGAGCTCAGCTTTGAATCCCATGTCAACAATCTTTATAGGGCAAATTTCTATCCGGACATCGGCTCAGGCCTCGCCCAGCCATACCAATTCCTATCCGGAAAACCGCCTCCGGCATTTCGCCAAAATAGCAAAATTTCTATCCGGACAGACCTACGGGATTTCAAAAAATTTCGTCAGTTTCTATCCGTTTCTAGATACGGCATCTGAGGGTACTTTCCAGGGTCCTGTCTCGTCCCGTTACCTGCCAGCTGAGCAGCGGGGTTTTGCGCAGACGGTTTTCTCTCTCCGATTTCTGGCCCTTATCATGCCATGGGATCCTCGGATTTCAGTCTTTACTATCTGCTGCCATATCTTTAGTCATCCCGAATTGGCATGCACTGTGGGCTCAGTGGCTTCAGCGCGTATCATCTCTCATTGCATCGGTTTTTGCCAAAGAAACAGAACAAAAGTGAGTCCATGTTTCTCCCACTTCACGATTCAAATTATGCAGAAAGGTGAAGGGGTGGTGACATAACTGAACATGACGACGTTGAGTCTGGGATTGGCACCTCGGCCCTTGATCATCACAGCTTGTCCCAGCGTCAAAAATAATGGTCACACGGCAATGTTTGCAGCTTTGATTCCGGTAACCCACTTCTTCTGACAAGCTATATCATGTCAAGGTACTGAGCAGAACCCATTCTCCGCCCTTGCGCTCCCGAGTCCCGATCCCACATCACCTTAGACATGGCGGCGCTCGCTCAGCTCGTAGATTATGTGGCTGCAGAACGACTTGCTACGGTGCGTATCTATATGTCTATAAAGTCCTCCTTCCCTCTAACGAAAGAAGAACAGTCATTTGATGGTGAGCCGCCTGATACGATTTCGAGCTTCTAAAGCTGATGAGTCTTCGAAGTTGCGGCGGCGATGTTGTTGGTATACGACTGCTCACTGACGTTGGGGATGGAAATTGAGTTTATGTGGTCATCGCCATGGGGGTTTATGAAAGTGATTTATATCGTTCAGCGATACCTGCCTTTCTGTGACTCGATTTTTCTCTGTCTAACTCGTGAGTACACGGAATACCTCTCTCTTCTTTACAATATTTCACTATGTTCTTTTCTAGACCAATTGGCGATAAATATCGACCCATATGGTTGCCATATCGTTGAAACGATACGAGGATGTATGCATTCTCTTCAAAGCATGGTCGTTTGGCTCATCGTATCATAGGGTTGATGGTTTTTGGCTTTGCTTTGTCTGAAGGTGCCAATTCTCTTCGTTTTACACTATCTGATGTGCCTAATGGTGGGTGTTCCTAGTAATCTTGTCCCTGCGCGCATGGGCAGTATGGAAACGAGATCTGCGTCTGGGTGTCTCTCTGATATCCTTATTTACGCTCGCAACTATGGCGGAGATATATGTGACGAGAATCTTCCTTCGCGACCTGCAATGTGTGTCCACCATCTGTCATGTTTAACCGTCATCTCACCGCAATTGACACCCCATGTGAAGTCAGTAAAAAGCCATATCCAGAATTTGTAGGTTGCTTTCTCACCAGCGCAAATCGCATCGTGTATTTGGATTATGTTGTATTGATGATTTACGAAGCCGGTAAGCATCAATTTCTACATTGGTGTACGGCATCCGCAACTAATTGTCTCCCAGTAATACTGGTCTTGATGATGATTCCTGGAATTGCTTCCTGTAAGACCCATACATTATCTAATTTCCGCTTGCCCATAAGCTGCCCTTTCAGATCGGCGAGGAGGGAATGTTGATCTGCATCATGTCATATATCGCGACGGTAAGATATTGAATTTCACTGGAAGAGATGTAGCTAAATTGCCTTCAAACATAGGGATAATAATGTATATCTACCTTTTTGGTAAGCGATGGTCGGCACAACCCATTCGCTGTGGGCTAAAGGAGCAAAAGCTCTTTCAATAGTCAACGTCGTAGTCCTGTGCGCGCTCTCTGTAAGCCTATACATTGCGTCTTCGTCTGAGAACCAAACTCACCACCAAATTTCTGCAGACGAACTATTTCGCAGTTATTTCTAAGTACGTTTATGTTCTGCCTCTACGTGCGAAATGACTGAG